GTTCCAAGATCTTCCAAGCTGCGCCTTCAGCCCAAATTTTGGATAAAAACTCCCACAGTACACGATAATTCTGACAGAATTCTGAGCCAGCCTTCCCCAGTCACCCAAAACATTAGGTTACTCTTCAAACACCAGTCCTTCCAGTATTATAAAGAAACAATAATGAACCCAACAGCCCCTGCAAGATGTGCTGCTCACAGATGTGAACAGCACAGTGTTACTCACAATGTTTGCAGCTCTGACATGCATCTCGTAGTTATCTTGTTCACCCTGGGTTGCTCGAGAGACTTGAGTTTCGTCCTCAATCTAAAGAAAAAAGTACAAAATCCACCTTTACGTGTTTAAAATCCAGACAATTATTGTGYTATATTGTATTTGTGAATATATATGTAAATATGTGCGTGGATTTCCTATATGTGAAATGAGATCACATATCATGTATGTGAAATTGACGTTTATGTGTGAATTACAGTTCAATTCACACATGATATTCAAGGACAGGTTGGACAGGGCTTGGAGMAACCTGATGMGGTGGAAGATATCCCTGCCCATGGCAGGGGGTGGAACGAGACGAYCTTTAAGGTCCCTCTAAAGCCCTTAACATTCGGGGATTCTATGAAAGGTCCTCCCCTCTCCGCTCACTGCTTTTGCTCTCCCTCACAGCCCGCTCTCCCTCACAGCAGCCGGGGTCCTCCCGCGGGCGAGGACCCCCTCAGCCCCACCTTGGCCGTCTTGATGATCTCGGTGAAGTTGTCCATGATGGAYTTGACATCGTCCTTGAGGCGCTTGTTGTAGGACTGCAGCAGTGTCTCCTTGCTCTGCGGGAGCACCCGGGGCTGCGCCATTGCTGCTCCCCCCTCCCCTCACGGGCCCGGCCCCGCCCCCCGCGCTCTCGCGAGATCTCGCGCCCCGTAGATATTTCCCGGCATGCACCGCTCCCCCTTTCTCTCCCACCGCCCAAGATGGTGAGTGATGGCGGCGGCGCGGGGGGAACCGGGGCTATCCGCCGCCATCCGGGGCCGCCCGTCGGTRTCCGCTGCCGCCGATAGGCTGCGGTAGCTCCGTGCGGGTGCTCGGTAGCCGAGRGAGGCGGCGGAGCGGTGTTTCGTGCCCGATTCGCCATGATGGGGAAAGGCCGCGGATGGGCCTGCCCGCCCGAGCTGGGGACCTGCGGCTGCTGCCGGCTCGGGCAGCCCGGCCAGGCTGCAGCGGGTTCCCGGGGTAGGTCAGGTCCTGCTGGTCACTAATCCATTGTGGGGATATCTTGGCTCCTTTCGGGGAGGGCCGGGTGAAGCGATCATCACGCTTGGTTTAATCCTTTACCTATCGGGAAGGTATATAAACCCTTTAAAGGCAAAGCGAAGGATTTGCTCTCTCTGGAAGAGCAGGCTGAAGATGGGAGGGCACCAGGCTGTCGAAATTCCGGGGAAAATATATGTATTTCCATGGTGGGCTGATAACTTTTTTGGAGGCAAAAAATGGCAGAGTGTGTTTCTTGATTGCAGCCGAAAGGAAAGAAGGCCAAGGGCAAGAAGGTTGCACCGGCCCCTGCTGTAGTCAAGAAGCAGGAGGCCAAAAAAGTTGTCAACCCCCTCTTTGAGAAGAGGCCCAAGAACTTTGGCATTGGTGAGTAAGTGGATATTTGCTTCATGTTATTTTTGTTCAGTGATCAGATGTCTGAATTATAAACATTCAAAATCACTCCAGACTTTGTGCAGTGCCATTATTGTGGGGCATGGGGCGCAGATGATGTGAAAGAATATTTGCTATCTGAGTGGTCGTGCTGACAAATCACCACCAAGATCACTGATGCTCCTGTGCTGCTCTTGTGCTGCTGCTCTGGATTTGGGACAGCCCTGAGCTAAAGGCTGTGTTTTTTAGGACAGGATATCCAGCCCAAGCGTGACCTTACCCGGTTTGTGAAATGGCCACGTTACATCAGGCTGCAGCGCCAGAGGTCCATCCTCTACAAACGCCTCAAGGTGCCTCCTGCCATTAACCAGTTCACCCAGGCTCTGGACCGCCAGACAGGTGAGGATCTGCCYCAAAAGGGGTCTTCTGTGAGTGAGTAAAGTCTTCTCCAGGTGACAGTGTCATACAGAAAACTGGACCTATGTAGAATAATTTCCTCCTCCTAAGTTTTCCTTGCTTTAAAGGAACCAGTGCACCACTTCTAACCRTAATTGCTCTGGGGATCCACGTGCATTTCCTTGTCCAGTCAGGGATTTCTCAGTGCCATCAGAGGTGCACATGGAAGCAAAGATGGTCTCTCAAGGTGCTCTTTCTTGGACTGTGCAAGTGATGATCACTTTTTGCTGTGTAAACACATGTGATGACAACCACCAAGATCGCTGATGCACTGCAGTATTTTTAAAAAGTAATCCTTAGATTTTCAGGTCATGCAACTAATTAGTAGGTGTTCTCTTCCAGCTACACAGCTTCTGAAGCTGGCACACAAATACAGGCCRGAGAATAAGCAAGAGAAGAAGCAGAGGCTGCTGGCTCGTGCTGAGCAGAAAGCTGCTGGAAAGGGAGATGCTCCAACCAAGCGGCCACCGGTCCTCCGAGCAGGTAACTTTGTACCTTGACTGATGAAATRTGGGAGTTGGCACTTGGGTAGAGAACACTGATGGAAGAGTTGGTTCTTCAACTAGACAGGCTTGGACAAGCTATGGCAATGATGTATGAATTTCTTCACCTGAGCTCAAAGTGAAGAGCAAAATAGACGAGCTTTTTAACCCTGAGCTTTAGCAAATTGTCCATTAAATGTCTTTGTACTGCTGTGTGAGAAGATAGTGATGATGTGGTGTGGAATCAGAGCTTTAAAAATAGACTGTGAAGAATCAAAGTTTATTAATTTGGTTTTCAGGTATTAATACTGTCACAACTCTGGTGGAGAACAAGAAAGCTCAGCTTGTCGTTATTGCCCACGATGTAGACCCCATTGAGGTGAGCATGTTACAGGCTACGTGTGTAATTTTAGGGTGGGGTCAGAAGTACTTTTAAGGCAAAAAGGACAAATTTATTGCATGAAAGAGAACGCATAAAAATACACATTTACCAGAAATGGGATGCCTATGSATCCTGTGTAGTTGTCCTGGTATGATTGTAAAGCTGGGCCCTTGCAATGATGTTYTGAATTTCTTCACCTGAAACTGCAGTGAAGAGCAAAACGAGCTTTTTAACACTGAGCAATTGCCACAGCCCAGGCTGAYATCCAGCACAAAGGGATGTTTTCTCTCAGTTACTCAGCACTCTTTTCCCTTCCAGTTGGTGGTTTTCCTGCCTGCCCTGTGCCGCAAGATGGGGGTGCCCTACTGCATCATCAAGGGCAAAGCCAGGCTGGGCAGACTGGTCCACAGGAAGACCTGCACCTCAGTCGCCTTCACCCAGGTTAACCCGTAAGTGTCTGGGAGCTCACTTGATTCTCTGTTGTGGAGAAAGCAAATTTGGGTCTCTCTAAAGTGGTAAAATCAAAATAACACCTCTGTAATGTCTGATAAGAATGTCTTTATCCGATCCTAAAAATGCAGATTATTTTGGTTTACCAGAAGGTTGGTGACTTTAAAATCTGTGTGGAACAGTCAGCCTTAATCTGAGCAGTGCAGATTCTAAGTGTTAAACCTTTGCAAGCAATGCTTACGCTTAACCTGAAAAATTGGGTTGCCACTAGGAGCTCTCAAATCCTGTGGCAAAGTAGTTACAGAAGATGTAAAATTGAGGTTCTAAACTACAACTGTCACCAACAGGGAGGATAAGGGAGCCCTTGCTAAGCTGGTGGAGGCTGTCAAGACCAACTACAACGACAGATACGATGAGGTAAGATTCTCAGTGCTCCTGGCCTTATTTTTTTGTACTGTTAAACATTCCCAAAAGCTTCCTAGAGAAACGGGGCATAGTGACATCAGCTTATAGTTTGTGGGTGTGTTATACCTAGGTTTGTTTACAGTGTGCCCAGACTTTTTACCTGAGGATGGGGTAAAATGTGAAAGGTGTCACATTTGAAGCAAACAGCAACCCTAGGGCAAGGATTGTAGAGAGGACAACTTCTGCTAAGCTAAATCCATCCCCCAAAACCAGGAGTTACAGGATAGCTTAATCCAACCACCCGACAGGAGAAAGATGATCTTAAGCTCTTCTCTTTGCTGCCCCAATATAGTGCAGTGCTTGAAATGTGTAAGACTTTCTAGTTGAGGGAGCTCTTCCTCTTGTGCAAAACAGAATGTAAGAGATGGAATGAGGCCTCTAACCTGTTCTCCCTTCCTTGCAGATCCGTCGTCACTGGGGCGGGAATGTGCTGGGTCCAAAATCAGTGGCTCGCATTGCGAAGCTCGAGAAAGCAAAGGCTAAAGAACTGGCGACAAAGCTGGGCTGAAGATGTACTGCATTGCACCTTGTTTTCTGTACATAATAAACCCCAGCTRTGTTTCAGTGGTCTGTGTTAATGGSAGTGTTCCAGGCAGGGGGTAGCACAGTGTCATTGCTATACTTCTGCCTTCCATGCAGTGACAGAATAGTGCTGTAAAAAAACCTGCAGCCAAATTACTTCACATAAAACAACTGCCCTTAATTATCAGTCCTGTGTAATTCCTTTCCTGGGACCATGAAATKGGGCTGGGCTGGGCTAGTTCTGGTTTTAAGCCTGCCTTGGTTTTGCAAATCTAAATTGGAAATGGTTCTTGATTTYTCCACTAGTACTTAGGACTGGGTTACAGCTTGAGTTACACATCGTTGTACAACCTTCCAGGGCTGCAGTGCCTCTTGCAACTGGCTCTGCAGGAGCAGCTGGGCTCCTGCCCTCTTGCAGGGCTTGCAGTGAAGGCAAGCTCAGGGGGTGAACAGTAGAGACCTTCCTGTGCTGCTCTTTCCTGTGGTAGCTGCTGCTTGTTTTATCCAGCCCWCATGTTCTTGCACACCACAGGCTGCTTTCCCCAGCTAGACGTTTGTGTCCACAGTAACCTCTAATTCAGGTCTGTTCTGTGTAAGATGTACAATACAAGTCACAAGGCRAATAGCCATAGGCCTTTATTATTCTGCTGCAACTGCTGTCAGCCATTCCTGACTTCAGGAACAACTACTCAGTGCAGAGAAACTAGTTCATAAAATCCTCTAGATTTGCCTTTTGGAAAATACAACAGTGGAAAAGTTAAAATGTCGTAGCTTACAACCAACCACAATAGAGAAATGTGTCTGTGATTGCTGCTGAAGTTCAGTGTGCCCAAGTTGCAGCCAAGTCACACTGATGGGAGCTCCGTCTGCAGGCCTTGCTTGAAGTCTGCAGCTTGATCACTGCACGTTTGCTGAACCTGCTCTCAAATTCCAAGTGCTTCAGTTATTTAGGACTGAYCAGGCTCCTGTCATCCATACAAGTCTGCTCTTGACTGTAGTACAGAGGTTACTCCTTYGCCTCACAGAGGTGCCTTCTGTATAAATTTCTTGTACCATAARAAGGAAGTTGCAGCACACAAGCCATACCTAAGAGAAAATCAAATATTGGCCCCTTTCCAGGGTTGACTGGCCCTCTTTAAGAGCTGTGATAAACAAGCCAAAGCACCTAGCACATGCTATTGAGCTCAAAACTGGGCTTTTRTAGCTCAAGAGCTCATCCCAGCATTCCAAAGCAGCCCAGGGCAGGTGAGGTGGGCTGGTCCCTTACCAGGTGATGATGTACTGCATGTGCTCATTCCGCAGGGTCACCCTGGTCTGGCCCCCGATGGGCCCCCCTGGGACTGTGCTTCCTGTAGGGACGACACAGCTGTGTTAAAACTTTGGTCTGCGCAGTATGGAACTGCCATGTGCGTAAGGGGAAGATGGTGATAAATCTGGTGGATAACCTGCTCTCGGAGGCAGCGGTGTTCCCAAGGTCATAGAATCACAGAATGGTTTGGGTTGGAAGGTGTAGCAATGGAGGGACAGAGGACATAGACCTCTTCTAGCTGGTTTGAATAAATCCTTTATTGTCAAAATGCTGTGCCCCTTTATACATTCAATTTTCCTGGGCTAAGCAACCATTTGCTGTTTGTTCCACAGGGTCACCACCCACAAACCTTATCCAATCACATCTCTGGTTAGGTGGGTTCTACAGGCTCTGTTAACCAATCACAGCTTGACACACAACGCAGGTGCATGTCAGTCATACATACAGGCTGCTCACCTGACTGCAGCTCAAACCTTTCCCAAACTGTGAGGTTTAACAGGGGTAAACAGGATCCAACAGAAGCTCATTCTATAAAGTTTTTCCTTAACCCCAACAGGAAGGGACCTAAAGCCCATMTCATTCCACCCCTGCCATGGGCAGGGACACCTTCCACTGTCCCAGATTGCTCCAGGCCCTGTCCAGCCTGGCCTTGGACACTTCCAGAGATGGGGCAGTCACAGCTTCTCTGGATAACCTGTGTCAGGGCCTCGCCACCCTCACAGGAAAAAATGCCTTCCCAAATGCTCATCTAACCCTGCCCTCTGTCAGACTGAAGCTACTGTCCCTTGTCCTATCTTTGATGCTCCTGACAAAGTCCTCCAGGTCTCTTGCGGGCTCCCTGTCACCTTCAAAACAGTGGAGTGGCAGAGCACAGGAAGAGAACTGAAGGGAAAGGGAGGGAGAGTGATGTAAATTGGATGTGGGGCTGGGTTGCTCTGTGACTTACTGTAATCTGCATCGATGAAGATGGGCTCAGCACCGGTCACCCTGGCCATGGCCTCAAGGTCCCGGTAGTGCCAGCGGTTTTGTTCAATGTTATTTTCAGGCACAAAGGGTCTTCTTGTTTCTGTTAACCTCACCACCCCTGTGAGATCAATTTCATCTTCAATCTGAGGACAAGTGCACACAATAAAAAAGGAATCTTTCAAGATTGAATTAATGTTCTGACACATCAGGTCCTGTCAGGAAAATGTGGTACTTGAAGGGTCTGAGCATAAATGAAGTGGTTGTTCCCTGCTTGGGGCAGTGCTGTAATACAGCAGGGAAAAAAGCAGAACAAGAACAGCTTCTTATCTGTAAAACACATTATTTACTTAACAAAAAGGTGGGAAACAAAAGTTTGTTGTCTTTGAAAAGAGYAATAACTGTTCAAGTCACCTCCCATGATGCTGAATATGGCTCCTGCCTTTCTGGATTGGTCAATGKTGTCCCTGGGTAACCAAGGGGCACAAAGTAACTCCCCCCTTCCCTATTCCCTGGATCCCCCTTACCTGTCCATTCAGCCTAGTCTCTGGTTTTAATCTGTTCTTGGGCACAAATCCTCGGTTGACCAAAATCGTGACCCTAGAGTTACATAAAAAAGTATGGCTCAGAGGTGAAAGTATATTTATTCCTACTGCTGCCTAGAACAGAAGACCAAAGAAAGAAGCAACCCATGTGTTTGCTGCCCTTTTTGCTGTCACCTGATGCCCATTATAAAGGAATTTAAACACAATTTCAAATTGAGCCTCAGCGATGTCACAGACTGAGAGAGTAAGGGAGGGAGTGACTGACACAAAGCCAACCACCAAAATTCAGCTTTTCCAGGGATAAGTGAGTGCTCCCATGGAGCAGGACTCTGCTGAACTCACCCGAGCTCTGTGCAGTAGAAGGGGGTGACAACATTGGCTCCATTATCCGGGTGGGATGTGATCCTCCCGGCTTCCCGGGCCTCCCGCACGGGGTCCACCAGGGAGCGGGGAAGGATGTAGAGCTCCCTAGAGTGGTCAAAATATCCTCTGACCTTCACAGGTCTGTACTCCAGCCCCTTCAGTTCCATGGGGCTGCATGGAACAAGAGGAAAACAAAATCATGGCAAAATCATAACAAATTAAATAGAGATTCTACTTTTCTCTAATGGTTCGCTCTGTTGGCAAACAGAGACAGAAGACAAATAGCTCAGAGAATATGCAGCTGGGTTAATATTTTGCAACTATCACAATGAATCGAATAGACAYGATCAGGAGTATCCAGGGAGAAATTAATTTCACCTATCTGCAACCCAGCTATCACAGAACAGGTGGACTCACTGCCCATGCATCCAGCCATGGGAAGCGTTTCATTTCCATCCCAGACCATGAAATCCAACAACTGAGCCCTTCTGGGAGTTGTGCCAGGTGACCAAGTGACCTTAAAAATCTCTCTCACATCTGACACAACTGCTCCACATGTGAGGCAGGGCCTACTGTTGATCCAAGACTCCCTTTTGTAGTAACAATTCCTTTGGGWCACCACAGACACCAGTTAGCAACTCCCCTCTCCCCAGCAGCATTACAAATGACATGAACTACATCCCACATTCTCCTAAACAGAAAATCATCTTTTCCCCATGCATTTAGAGTATCTCACAAGAAAGCACTGACTTATCCTTTTACTTAAAATTAAAAAAAACCAAATAGGATCTTTTTCTAATTTGCTGTCACATCCAAATTTCCATTGCATTCCTTCCTTTTCATGCAGGTCAGTTCAGCACAAGCTCATTAGTGCAGGGTCCATATCTAATATTCCCAGGACATTGTCAGTGCTCTGTGGACAATAAACCACCCCTGYTTCCATACTCTAATGTCAGAGGGATGGGCTCTGCTGTGATTCTTGAGGCCAGTTGTTCAATCAATTCTAATTTCCACTTGCGCCGCTGAACCTGGAAGTAAACAAACACAAAAGTAACTGCTTAGGGTAGAGCAGAGCAAGGTAACAACCCCAGCAAGTCTTAAAATCTTGGTCATAATTCTATCACCAGACCTGGCCTAAATCACGATAATTGGAGATATGAAAATAGAGGCTACTGACTTTGAGGAAAAAAATGGAAATAAAAGTGTAAAAAATCAGCAAGTATTTACCCTGCTGGTGGTTTGAACTATATCAAAGAGATGGAAAAACTCAACAGCCCTCAAGTGCTCATTTCTGTAAAAAATGAACTATTTATTTGTACCTGCCATGTGCCAAGAGCRAATGTGGTCACAGGGACCAGGAGAAGGCCCCATTTCAGCAAGGTGTCCTCTCCAGATGTGTYAGCAGCTGCTGCAGAATTTCGCAATCTGCAGAACCTCGAACAAACATCTACAGAAAACCAGAATGAGGAATAGGATTTAGAGCAGAGATGCCAAATTCCAGCTGGAAATACCACATCTTGGTATTAGGGTGAAACAGGGCAGAAGCCCAGACAAATGTTTTCTTACCTTTAGTCTTTTGAAACAGACCAGAACCTGCTTTAGTTAGGGGATATCCAAAAAATGTTCTTCTGATCAAGCACTGTGATGCCTAAACAGAACAAGAAATATCCCCYGATAAAAGAAGTATTTTGAAGGAAAGAAATAATTTGTAGTGTCACTGTTTTACAAAACTTGTATTTAGGTGATAGAAGTTAACTTGATGAATGCATGAAATATTGTTTATCCRTTGATTTAAGTCTCAGATGAGCAACGGCCTGTGAAACACTACRGGCCAGGTTCTAACTCAAATAAAATAAAGTAAAATTTCCGTTAAGAGAGATGACTATAGCAAATGAACTTCCATCCATGCTATCAGCAAACATATGCACCAGCTTTATCTATTCCTGACAGAAACAGGGGCCTACAGGGGACAGGATGAGGGGACAGGATGAGGGGACATGATCAGGGGACAGGATCAGGGAACTGAAACAAGGGACTGGATCAGGAAACAGAATGAGGGGACATAATCGGGGACGGGATGGAGGAATGGGATGAGGGACGGGATGAGGGATCAGGGGACGGGATCAGAAGACAGAATGCGGGGATAGGATGAGAGGACAGGATAAGGGGACGGGATGAAGGGACGGGATCAGAGGACAGAATGAGGGGACGGGATGAGGGGATGGGATAAGGGGACAGGATCAGAAGACAGGATGAGGACAGCATCAGAGTACAGAATGAGGGGATGGGATGAGAGGGCAGGATGCGGGGACGGGATCAGAGCATAGGATCGGGTACAGGATCAGGGAACAGGATCGGGGACAGGATGAGGGGATGGAATGAGGGGACAGGATGAGGGGACGGGATGAGGGGATGGGATAAGGGGACAGGATGAGGGGACGGGATGAGGGGACAGGATGAGGGGACGGGATGAGGGGACAGGATGAGGGGACAGGATCAGAGGACAGGATCAGGGAACAGGATCAGAGGACAGGATCGGGGACAGGATCAGCGCTTTACCCGTGGCGGCCCCGCTGCCCTGAGCCTGCCCCAGCCCCGGCTGTCCCTCAACAGCCCGGACCCCGCTCTCAGCAGCAGCACAGCGGCCATGACAGCCCCGCACCGCCCCTCTGTGCCCGGCCCGGAACGGGAAACACCGCCCTGCCCTGYCCTGCCCCTCACGATGGCGGMGCCGGGCCCCGGCGGTTGCGCGGCCGTGCCCGAGGCGGAGCGGCTGTTCCTGAGGCAGCACCCGCTGCTCAGCCCCGCGGGGCCGGGCAAGGTGCGGCCGGGGAAGGGCTGGGGAGAGCCCTGAGGGTGCTGGGGGGATGCGGCCGCCTCCCTGAGGGTGCTGGGGGGATGCGGCCGCCTCCCTGAGGGGCCGTGATGGGGATGGGGCCACGCTGTACCCCATGGGCTCGGCCACAACGAGCTCTGCCGCACGGGTTTGTGCAGCGCTGGAAGGCCGGGGAGCAGGRCTCTGGTGTGTCCKGCCYTYCTCAGCCCTRSCATGGATATGGGAAGSGTGATTAGACATCRGAAGGGGCTGCCCAGGGAGGTTGTGGAATCCCCATCCCTGSWGAACAGCTGGAGTGGCACTCAGTGACACGGGCTGGTTGACAAAGCAGGGGTCGGTCATCGGTTGGRCTCGATGATTTCAGAGGTCTTTTCCAAMCGAATTGCTTCTGAGGGGTAAACCCGATAAAYCCCTGGGTTTCCTGACCGTGAACGTTTTTTTTCAGGTGAGATGCAAGCTGACRGGACATGAGCTGCCGTGTCGCCTGTCGGAGCTGCAGGCTTACACCAGTGGAAAGAAGTACCAGCGGCTCATAAAGACAGCCAAAGAGTTCGACTATGGCACATTCGAGCCCCACATAGTGCCCAGCACAAAGAATTTGTATGTATTCTTCCTCCCGTGTGTTATGCTTTGCATTTTGTTCTATTTCAGACATAAAGTGGTTGGGTTGTATAAAGTTCTTAAGTCTTTATGCGTATGGAGAGACTGGGAAAGGCTTTATAAARTATTTATCAACTTTGAGCAACTTACAGTGCTTGTAAGTGAAATGTTATGAAGTCATAGCACACTTTAACTCTGCTGCTGGCTYTTTCTGTCAGGCACCAGCTGTTCTGCAAGCTGACCCTCAGACACATCAACAAGCTKCCAGAGCATGTCCTGCGTCATGTCCAAGGGAAGCGCTACCARAAGGCCCTGAAAACATGTAAGTAGCTTCTCTGAAGCTGTAACCCTGCAACAGTTTTTTTTTTTTCTCCTGAGATTCTAGTGGATCACTGGAAGTGAAGGGGGCAGTTTTCTTCAAATTGACAGCAATGTGTTACTATGTGTCCTCCTCAGTTAGGAAGGAAGATCTCAGATATGGGGAGCAGTTGGCCTCTGGAAAATACCTTGGAACATCCTTCCTTGAGAGGCTAAGTTCTAAAACTCCCCCAGAGAGGGTGATTCATGTGTCCAGCAGTGTGTTAATGTCTTCCCTGATCCAAAATGCTGTAGATTATATGGATGTATATTGGGGTTGGAGTGTGCTGGAGTTTTGAGTTGCATTTCCTACAAGCTTGAGCTGGGGATGGGAGGACTCAGGGACTGGGAGCTGATCAGTGCTGTCTGACCCTCACTCTTAGATGAGGAATGCCAGAAGGAAGGAGTGGAGTATGTCCCTGCCTGCCTGAGGCAGAAGAAGCAGCGRGCACAGCACCCCAAGGACCAAACCAACGGGAGCAGGCAGCCTCACAGGAAAGAGGAGTTCTGGGAGCCCAACTCCAGTGATGAGGATGGAGAGGAGACAGACGACAGCATGAGTGATCTGTACCCACGTGAGTGAGAACCTTGGTTTCATCTGTGTCCTGAAGGGACTTGGTTGGCTAATTGTGTCATGGTTTGTTTAAATTGCTGCCTGCTGCTTGTGTGCCAGACTTCATCCAGTTGRGAATCCTTGGGTTTTGGAAAAGCTTACCATCACAAATAATATATAGCAGTTACTACGTAATAAGCAGTTGGAAAAGTCAAGGTGTGAGGGAAGGGATACAAGATCCACTGGGATTTGTTGCTTTAGGAATSTCCACTTTCCTTGTTTGTCAGCAAGTCTGAGTCTGACAGAAGGTGGTCAGGCCTCTGATGACTTAGATCTGGAGGTGCAAACCCATCTTGCTGCAGGAGCAGGGGTGTAACACACGGCACCATCTGTGCTGAAGTTCCCAGAATGGGACTAGTAAGAGCACCAAGGCACATTTCCAGTCAAACACCWGTGTTTTTATTTCCCAAGTATTTCAGCTGTGATTTATGTATGCCTGGTGACTGGAAACGGCTTGGACATCATCTTTAAAGTCAGGGGAGGCAGAGCCTGTGTGAACAGGGAGCTGATTCTGAGCTCAATCTTTGTGTTTTAGCTGCACTCTTCCCAGAAAAAAAACCATCAGCTTCAGAGACCACAAAGGGCAGTGATGACTTCATGACAGACAGCGAGGATGATGGGGCCAAGCAGAACGGAGATGCGAACGGAGTGCACGGGGGAAGGAACGATGTCAGCAGAACAGTTGGCACCAAGAGAGGAAAGGTGGGAGTCATCCCTCTGCCTGCAGCAGCAGKGGAGTGTGGAGCTGGGATCCCATCCCGTAGGTGTTCCAGCTATTCCTGTCTGGGAACCAGCAGAAGGTGCAAAGCTGTTCRGAATAGACTTTCCCCTCTGTGCCAGACAGTGACTTGCATCCTGAGGTGTGAATTCCTGCCAGGCAATATTTATCCTGGCTGCGGTTGTGAGGGATGTTCCTGCCTGTACAAACAGCTCATCTTTGGTGGGATCCTGCCCCACACTATCTCAGAAGGAAAGCTGATATGTGTCTTGTGAGTTCTGTAATTGTCCTCCCACTACATAAGCACAAAYTCAATCCTTTTGCAATGACAGAGTCCCTCTAGACCATTTTTCTGCCACTTTYAAGGCACTGCCTTACTTTTTAAATGTGTCAAACTAGACAGTTAAGGCTGGATAAAATTTGCATTCATTGCTACAACAACTTTGTCACTGTTTTTGCCTAATGAAAACATCAGAAAGGGCTGCTGAGCTGCAGGATCCTGGCACTGAGCAGAGCTGGGCTCGTACTGGCTGCTGAAGGAGATCAAACTCAGTTTGTCTTTAAGCTGTCTCAGGCAAGCCTTAAGTTGGATGTCTGAAATAAGCTGATTAACTTTTTCTCTCTACAGAAACAGACAGGCCCTTTAAAGAAGAAATTTAAGAGCCATCATCGAAAACCCAAAAACTTCAAGAAAGCAGCCAATGGGAAATAAATTTTATGATAAATACATGGCCTGAAGCCTGTTGTGTAACAATTCCTGTGGGAGCACACAACTAAAGTGTTTGCCCATTCCAGTTAACTGCTGCAGGTATGGAGGGGAATAACGGGGTTGGTTTAAGCTGTATTCAAAGAGCTACAAGCTAGCCCCACATCAGGGGGAGGATGTTTGCTGCAGTCAAGTCCAGACAGCTCAGTTTTTTACAGAAAGCTGGTTTTTGGTAGGCAGGAAAGCACAGCAGCTCARCAGTGGAGCATCACCAGCCACACACGCCAAGTGGATACAAAGATGCCATTGTTTTATTTTGATTGTTTTCAAAAATCAAAACATTTTCAAACACAACTAAGGTACAAAATACAGCATAAAATGAGAATTTATACTTCTTTTTTTTTTTTCCACATAGAAAGCAAAAATATATTCAGAATGAATTCCAGAACACTTTGCAGAGCCAATTGGTAGCTGACATCCTGCTTGTGAGAGCTTCTCAGCCACGGGGAGAGGTCACTGTAATTCTGGGAGATGCACAAGTACAGCAGTGTTTGTAGAAAACCAGAATCTTCTGCATCAGGACTCACAGTTAGTAAGTCTGCACATTGTGCTGCCTCAAAGTATCTGATAATGCCCTCCACCTAACTGCCCCTGGAATACTGAAGTATTCCTGCTGCAGGGGACAGCATCAGTTCCTTTTCTAGGGTCTGTTGTTGGAAAGGGGATTTGATTTTCACAGAGGAAACTGGTCAGTATTTCAGACTAGTCTGTCATCCAGCTCCTTAGGACACAAGGTGAGAAAGACAACTTAAGGGGCTACTTGCAGGAGTAGTTTCTGTCATTTATAAATACTATGAACATCAACAGCAGTTCAGGTATCTGAGKGGCTGCCTTGATTTGTCTAGAACCGTTTTAAGACCTGCAGTGAAACAGTAAAAGCCTCCTGTGCTGCAGATCCAGAACTGAAAGAACCAGTTTGTTTAGTTAGGAAGAGTCAGGCATAGGGAACACTTGAGGTGAAGACTTGTCTTGCAAAACTTCCTTGAAAAGAAAGCCATCAGTGACCTGACCTTAATGCTGAATTCCCCTTCCACCAATATGGACATGGGGGTTGGACTAGATGATCTCCAGAGGTCCCTTCCAACCCTAACTATTCTGGGATATCAACTGGCTTCCTCCAGCAGCAGCACATCTTAYCCTTACAGAGGCTATTATCCCCCTAAGATGCTGAAATCACCGGCTGAACATTCAACAGTGCTCTTCTGGTTTTCATTAGTTCTTTCAGCCCAGTTTTCTCTCTGAAAAAGTAACCATTTAACTGAACTGTCCAGGCGAGTGTCCTTATCAGGAGACCCTGGGAAACAGCTCCCACTGGAGATGTTCAGCTGAATTYCTCCTTGAACAAAGAGCTGAGCATCTTCCTCAGGGGAGACAACAGTGCAAGGAATCAGTGTAATGGTAGGAAGTTGGTAGGGCTCATGCTGTCTAGAATTCTTCCACMATCTAGTGAAATAGGTTCACACCTAGTTGACTAAGAGAGGACAAAACACCTCCTCTGAGCAGCACTAAGCATGGTCATGGCACAGAGGTCRTGGCACTGAGAGGCCAAACAGGGCCTTCCTCTCCTCACCCTCACGAGTTCCTCCTGTGGAAGGTCCATCCCTGGCTGCTTCTCCACTGCCCAGGCTTTGCACTCGCATTCCTCAGCTATAACCGTTTGTAGAGTTGGGAATGGGGGCCAYTTCCACATTTCCTCCCTGCACAGCTCAGGGTGCTCTGAAGTGGCAGAGGAGGGGCTGTCCTGGAGAGCTCAGCACCCCAGCTCTTCAGTCAGCTGGGACTTTTACAGCCAAGAGAGTGACAGAAGTGAATCTAAGAAGCAAAGACTACAGATTAGGAGATTGACTGCTCTCATCTGGCAAGTACTGAGTGCACAGAAAAGGGGAGCTTCTGTAATTCTCAAGACATTTTCACCAATAACCTGCAATTCAAATATGAATTTGGGKCATATATGGATGGAAGCTGGTTAAGAGCAGAAAGGAGCTTTTATTATGGAACCTGCAGCACAACTTGGCTCCCTTCTTGGGAATTCAGGAAGGGCAACTTTGGGGAAAGAATGTAGAATAAAGAATTCTTTTGGCACAGAATTTTCACAGAATCTAACATTCTGCCTCTTCAGGATAATCTCCCCCACTTCCTTTGAAACTGATTAGCCATASAGGACTCATGATTAACAATATAGGATTCTCCCTTGTACCCCTCAAGGGCAAAACTGGGACATGTTAGAAAACCCTCKCCCTTTTCTTACCCAGAAAGGGGTACAACTACTTTCAGGGTTTTCCTTTTGCCTTCTGTTCAGCAGCAGGAAAGACCTCTCCCTGTYAAATAAAAAGGAATTACAGGCCTCTGAGCAGCAAAATAATAGTGATTTTTTGGGTTTTCTTTGATGCTGCTTTCCACCTTGACAAGCAATGCTATAACCAGCAATGGAACTCCTTAKTCACAAAACAGTTTTGATGGGGACAAGAAAGGGAATCCACTTTTTAAGTTATAGCTACAATCCAACAGCACACTGAATGACCCAGCTGTATCTGCTCACCTTTCTGCAAATTTTAAGACATTGCTGACATTCCAGACAGCAACTGTTCTACTGCAATTCACTGAAACATCAGCAAAATGCAGGTTCCTTGGGTTAGTTCCAAATCTAGGAAGTTAGAATAAGCCTAGGCAACATTCCTTGAAGAAATAGGGTTTTATCTATTGTATTACTGGTGCCACAGTAAATCAAATTCAAAACATCTGTGCCTTTTATAGGAAGGGGGCATGTACGTGTAAAATGCTGGCAGTTTTTGTTGAATCCATAGAGAATCAGTTCTGGACTTAGTACARTATGTCCCAAGAAGTGTTGCTATTCCTGTTACCACTCTTTTTTCTTCTCATCCATGGAGACTCCACCGGGACCCAGTGCAACCACGAGGAGGAGCCCTCCAATGACAGACATGGTCTGGAAGAAGTCGTATTTGAGGAAGTCGTGCATGGGCTTGTAGGCTGGGATGGTCCAGAAGGCATTGAAGTAGATGTTGATGCCAAACAGCCAGATGACCAGAGTCAAGGCAGCCAGCTTAGTCTTGAAGCCAATTGCCACCAAGATAATCAGGGCTGTGCCCACAATGTTCTGCAGAATCTGTGAGGRAAAAAAAGCCATGAACTTAACATGGTTCTTAAACAGATACACCAATATCAGAGCAGAGCTTGGCTAAGTTCAGTTATTGTGGCACAGACACTTTAACACTGGGGTACTTACAGAAAAGAAGTTCATATCAAAGTGTAGCARTGTCATGAACATGAGGACGAGCAGCACACGCCCCCCCAGCTGCATGTACTGCTTTGGGGAGCTCTCCCTCATGGTGGGGACACCAGCAAACATGCTCTTCCCCTCCGAGCGGGACTCAGCCAGAAGCAGCAGCAAGCCTCCCCCAAGGGCAAGATTCCTACACAAGTGGGGAAGAAAAAAGAAAAAAGCAGTTTAGTACAGCTTGCACTGGTCTGTATCTGTTAAGTCTAATTTGACAGTTTCAGTATGAATCTATGTGTGAGTGAGGAGTGAYTTGCTCTGCACCGTGGGATGTGCTGGTCTGTGTTAGACTTCCCAGTCCCAGCAGCACTGAGCACACCAAGGATTTGCCAGGGCAGTCCAGCATCCACAGTTGCTTCAGTGGCTGTGTGAATTTAGTTGTGTTAAAGTTACTCTGTATCTCAGGTTCAGCCATATATGCCAAAGTAGTTCAGAGGTTGCTCTGAGAAAACAGAGCAGCAGTGCTGCTAAAAAGTTACACATTGACAGGGCTGTAGTAAGCCCAGCTTACTTAAGTACAGCTCTTGTACTGTTCTTCTCTCAGAGGGGTGGAAAGGCAAACCATCACCCAGGACCTGACAGGAAAGCTCACGTTTAAGAGTCTACTCCTTAGGGAAGGTGTTAACAGGTTTAAAATCCCAGAAACCACTGCAGTGRCCACATGCTGTAATTTTCTCAGAAAATGGCTTCAGTCATGCAGAAGCAGAGTTGCTATTTTAGCCATTTAGAAATAAAAGCAACTCTGATCCAGTGCAGACASTAGGTTGAGCTCTCAGCAAGGTTAGCAGCAGAAGCACTTGGATCCTAGTGGGTTAGGATTAGTCTTTCCCTTCCTGAGCCTGCTGTCTACAGTTTAACACAGACTCTTCTGATTTTCCAAGTGCTGTCATTTCTCGTAAATGCATCACTTGTAAAATCTTTCTAGTAAATACTATGAAAAATATAATTTTCTTTGTCACCAAGTGTCAGTTTTCATTCTGTTTCTATAAAAACTTCCAGAAGCARGCATACCTCATCAGGAACTTCAGGTCCCATAGAATGCTGTATGCAATAGTCTAGGCAAAGAATAAAACAGGTTAAAATACCATATAAATGACATTGAAGTTCTGAATTTCTGTTACAATCTCAAGTCTGTATCAGCCATAGCAGAATTCAATTATAAACACAATACAGTCAGGGAAACAAGGTAGGTTACATCATTGTGGTCCACCAAGTCTGTGTAAAATAGGGAATGGAAGCCAGAATTTGATTTGTGCTTTAGGCCCCCCCAAATTCCCTGTTTTTGTAGAGGAAGGATGCTACTAGCTAGGATCCTTTGTGATGGGGGCACAGCTGAAGGCCAAAGCAAGTTCCACATTTGGCTCATTAACTGCCACACAGGTAAATTGCCAGTTACTTCTGCTAAATTGGTCAAGGTCAAGTATTGAATGAATGTCTCCAAGCTGACTAATTGCAATTACATCTATTGGGCACATCAGGAGAACAGAAGCAGCAAAATAGTTCAATGCCATCAAGGACTGGCACTGGGCCAGGGTGGAGAAAAATTYCAGGGATGCAAGTTATATTTAAACACATTGGTAGTACTGGGGCTCACAGAGCTTGGAAAGGCACAGTTTAGAAGGTTTGCAGACTTAAGCCTCCTACCTGTAATGCTATAATTCCAAACAGTCCAAAGCAGGCATATTGCACAAAGTTCCTACTCAGCACCAGGATACAGCCACCTGAGTTGGAAAAATTGAACACAGTTATGCTTGGAAAAGCTGCTGCAGGAATGCTAACTTGGATTTCCCTTTTTTTTGGTTGGTTTGGTTTTTTTTTTCATGAGATTTTTGTTAGGGCCATCATGATGTATTCTTCTTCCTTAAAAGGATAAAGCCTAAAACCTTTCTCAAGTCTTCCATCAGAAAGCACTGACAKCCTTTGTCACTTTGACATGAGGACTAGCAACTACAGTAAATTAAGATAATCCTCTACACAAAATACTGAGGGCAAAAAAATCTGAATCTGGACATAAGTAATTTGCAATCAAGAACAGTAAATGAGGGACATCATATAAACAGAAAAGGATTTTACCTCTCCCCATTTCTGATACCCTGGGCCCACCCAGCACACATACAGCASAGCACTCCTTTCCTGGGTTTATTTTGATTCCTGGGCTTTGGAAAAATCTCAGACACAAGTACCTCACTCAGGCTTAAGTGCACCCACTCCAGGGTAAGACTTTGCCATTGAGGTGAAAGCCCATAAAAACAGGAGGCTGAGAAAATCTCAACATTGCCCCGTTTTGGACAACAGGAGTATTTAATTTGGAGAACTCTGGGTGTGGCTTGYATTTATGGATGCATGTACACAACTGAAACCAGATTGTCCTGATGGATTGTTGGCATCTCTGACTCAGAGGCAGTGTGTCATAATAAACTCTCTCTGACTGCTTCCAGGAAAGGCTGAAGCAGGTCAATTAGGAGTTCTTTTCATTCAGCCCATGTAGTACTATCAGTTCTGAGCTGTCAGGGGCTATTGGGAAATCAGTGAGGCATCCCACGCTTCCATGATTCACAGAGCCTGCATGAGCCAGGCTGCAGCCACACTGGAGTGCTCTGCCATGCACCTSAACAGCCCCGGAGCCACTTACTCAGCTGCCCAAAGAGGTTTAGGAGCACAAAGATGGAGGCCAGGAAGTAGCCACAGTTCCACGTGCTATCGATGTAATCCCTCTGTTCACTCCACTGGAACCACATGCGGATGCCATCCTCCAGGAAGGTGCTGATCAGGCACAGCCGGGCCACGTGGGGAAGGTACTGCTTCGTCACCCTCAGGAACTGCAGGGGCACACAGGGCATTAGCAGGGAAGGCAGGAAAAGGGATACTGCAGAGATAACAGAGCCCTKCTCTCTGCAGGCCCTGAGCTCAGCACTTCTCATGCACTCAGGGTCACCAACAGCTAGAGAGAAACTGGGACTTGGATTTAATGAAATGCTTCTTCACCCACTGGGAACAGCGAGGGAAACCTGTTGTCATTCTCCATTGGACTAGGACTTGGAAAAAAGCAGAATCCAGCAGCACATTTCTGTGTAACAGGAACTGGACTTTGATGGAGCTCTCACTAATGAAGGCTGACCTTGGTTTTAGTTTCTCTATCTCAGGGTTTCATGTTACAGCTTGACTATCAGATAGCCTGGAGCTGAAAGGGCAATCCTGCTCCCACCCACATGCTCAGGCACTCACCAGCCTACAACAACCCAGATTCTGGGAGCCAGGCTGATAGAAGACAAATTCTGTACAAATTAAAAAAAACATCACTAAACTTTCTGCCAGGCTTYTTCCCTCCAGCAGCTCAGAAAAACAGTGCAAAGCACATGTACTTGAATAGCAGCACATCTTAGATCTACCTAACCACTGCAKGGAATTGCACCCTCTATTGTCTAGGCAGGTTTTTACTTCCATTAAAAGGAGCTTCCTCTGCAAAAAGAAAACAGACGTTTATAGTTCAGTGCAGTAGTTAAAAGGAAATTATATCATCATGCAACAGATGCTCAGCTTTGGTTTTTGGGAATGCAAGATGAATCTGGGCCCCAAGATGTATCCCCCTTCATCCTGCAGCCTCCTGGGTCAGTTTGCTCTGCAATTAAAAGAATTAAAGGAACAAATACAGAATTGCCAAAAAGAATCTAGAGGATCATGTTCCAAAGGGCTGTGGGGTGCACTGGGAAACTTACTGYCTCTGGGTTAGGACAAGTATTTAACTGTCAATCCATTTTCTAGGCAGCACTGGCTATTTACTTAATTGAAAATTCCACCAGGAAGGAGACAAAAGCCATTTCTGACAGTTTATTCCTGCCAGAAGCAATCAGTCAATAGTAAAGGCTACACAAATGACAARCCTAGCTCACTGTGCAACTGCAGATTATCACAAGAAAAAAAAATCAGCAAACATGCTTAATAGTCAATTAAATAGTTAATATTGGAACAAACTGCACTGTTGTACTGCCAATATCCAGAGTCTAAGGGTCAAAATTCACCTCAATCAAGTGTTTTTTAAGTGCAGCTGTACTCTGCCTCCAGGCTGCCACTTMAAGCTTTTTTAAGCCATGTCAACAGTTGGATGAATGAGTCAGAAGAGAATTTCTGATCTTTGTCACTCACTGAATGAGACATTCCTCCCTCCTAGGTTTCATTCTAAGGTCAAGGAAACTTGCTGAGGAATACTAAGAATAAAATTCTTACAAACGTTAGTAAGATACAGAACAAGCAACTTTGGTCTAGGAAGATATGAAAGAAGACAAGTGCTGGGAATCTGTAAGGAAAGGAAAAAAAAAAACCCAACAAAACAGTGCTGTGGAAAGGCTGAAAAAAACCCAACAAATATTAGAGACTATCTTTCTCCAGGCCTCATCTTTGCTATTCTGAARTGGGTCATGGGAGCTGATCTCATCCTCCCCTTCCCTGGAACCAACCAACCATGAACAGCACAGGTGAAAGATCCAAGAAGACATTTAACATTTACCTGTTCTCTTGGCATACAGAGTGAATTTAACACTGCCCATTAACCACGAGCACACATCCAATGGGCTCCAGACAAGTCAGAGAGGCTGCAGCTTACGGCAGCTCCAGTGCTAAGCAACCTCATGGCACACACAACATCCCTGGACACCCACAGCTCCTSCAGCTGCACTCAAGTTGAACCCCCTGTACACAGCAAGCTCAAATAAGCTTCAGAAACAGCCTGTGGGAACAAAAATCCAAGCCAAAGGAACCAGGAGATCCAGAGAGAGAGGAAGAGAACAACTACACYACAACTGCAGGAAGAGAATGTAACAGGCACCAAGTGATTTCACAATTAGAAAATTGCTCAAGTAATTTAACTAAGGATGGAATAAATGACAAGAAACATGGGAGTTCCAGCAGTGGGACTGAATAAATAGTACCAGTCACCGTGGCTTTGTCCCTGCACAGCAGCAGCACAGTGTGGCTCAAAAGCTGCACTCTGAGCCCACTTCCTTTAAGATTGACACAGATAACGTGGCACACACGGGAAACTTGGTGGCTGCAGTTCAATATCTGCAGCTAAGAAATGGCACTTGAAACACACCCTGCACTGAGCACAACACACCCAAATCCAGACTTCTGGGACTGATGGAGATGGCAGCATTAACTCACGACATCAAATAACTGCATGGATTTTTCTGCTCTGGGCTTTGCATCAATTGCTCTCCACATGTCCTGTCTCCTTGGCAGAGGTGTGACTTCGTGAGGAAAGACAAGAGAATGTTAAATAAAACTATTTTAAAGAAGAACAGCTGGTTCTGTGTTGGCAGCCAAGTCACTGACATATGCCAGGGGGGCTTTGTGTTGCCACTTCCCCCTCTAATGGGATTAGAAAGGCAAAGATAGATTTAAATGCTCCTTTAAGTTTAACAAGCAAAGATGTACAAGAAGATCCAGGGATCCCTTAAAGCACTGCTCAACCCCATGTTTTTCTAAAGGAGGATTGAAATATTCAAACCCATAAAGGCCTGACCAAAAGAGAGGTAATAAAGTGATTCATTTCGACCCCACCTTCAACAGTTTCAATTCTGCTGAAAGTCCACTCTGTTTTGATAAAAGTGTATATAGCATGGTACAATTACAGATATTTTAACAGCAATACAAGGGYATGAGTTGGGAATTTTTGCAGGTATGKTCTGCCCAAGCACAGAAGCCTTTTYTGTGTGTGCACACTCGTATTCTTGGATCAGGGAAGTTCTGATCATGGTGAGGAGCAGGACACTGCTCATCTACACAGAAACTCTCCTGAGCTGCACAGCATTATCCGCCTAGAGCTTCTCATAAGGCATAACCCAAATATCTTGTATACTTTTAAGGGACTGCTTGGTTCTGGGAGAACAGATACCTCCAGGAGCCTGGGACATCACTGATCTTTCCTGAAAGTGGATGCTCAGTCCAATGGTGGAGAGCAAAATCACTTATTTTCATTGACCTGGATATATTCACTTAAAGAGATCCTACCCCAAAATCAYAGCAACACCAATCACATTCATTAACTCAATGCCTACAAAGTACTATAAAAACTAGGAACAAGCTTTCCCATTTATTTCCAAAGGCAGGAAGAGGGCTCTGACCCACTAGAGCATTGCCAAGATATTAATGAGGTTTTTAATTGCAGGAAGATTTCTCAATGCTTTTTCCTTCTGAAGTGTGCTTTATACCAAATCCCTTTTCCAAAAGGCTATTTATTAATGAAACCTTTAAAATGGTAATTTTAGTAATTTACTGCATTTTACTATCACTCCTCACTGGAAGATTTTTCCCCAGCCTAACCAGAGCAGACTATTTGGCTTGCAATGACAAACAATCAGTGCTCTGCCATGACAAAGTTCTAGAGAACATTTTCAAATTTAGGTTTTTTAATATAACACACATAAAGCTCAGACTAACAATGAAATATTTTCTTCTCCCTTCCATTTTCTGAAAAATAGGACATTGAGGACAAGGAATAAGAGGTTGAAACTGAAGAAGGGGAAATGTAAGTAAAATATCAGGAAGAAATTATTTCCTGTGAGGGTGGTGAGGCCCTGACACAGGTTGCCCTGTCCCTGTAAGAGTCCAAGGCCAGACTGGACAGTGCTTGGAGCAGCCTGGGATAGTGGAAGGTGTCCCTGCCCATGGCGGGGGGTGGGATGAAAAGAGCTTTATGATCCTTGCAACCCAAAACATTCTATGATTCTCTGTCAGAATTATCTGGACAAGATAYATCAGCATTTACCCTGGCAAATTAAATAAACTTCTCCAGTCTGGATCTCCCTTGCAGCCCTCTCACTCCTGTACAATGACTCAATAGTTTCACTGCATTTTTGTCCATAAATCTTTTTTTTTTAACAGCAGAAATACCAGGAACCCACATTCCTAAGGATTTACTCCTAAAGACTATTACAGACACTAGGAAAGTTGCCTGAGATCTGCTCCCTCTTAGGAGGGGATTACAAAGGAGAGACAATCCTAAACACTCCATGCAGGCCCCAGATACAGCTATTTTCAGTACATGGTGACTGCACTGGAGGGATTGCCATGTAATATTTTAACAAAGATTACTAAAAATGGGCTTAATTACTCAGTATGTGAATTATTTCAYTAACAGCACTGGGCTGGTGTTACAGTGTCTCCTCCACTGCAGTTCTTGGGAATTCCTACCAGCTCAGRGCAGCCCATCACCAGCAATCCCAACTCCAGTATTGCTCCTCACCCAACCTAAACATGGAGATAACTGAAACAAGAGAAAAAAAGAAATCCTCAATATTTTCCTGCCAGCTCAGCTTCCCAGTTCAATGACCAAAGTGCTGGTGAGAGAAAAAAAGGGAACGTAGCCTTGGGAGAAGTAGGACAAGCCCTTTCTCTGACAACTGGCTGTCTGGCAATCTTAGCTGCCTGGAAGACAGAGCACTAGTTCACCTCTGGATTAAGAGACATTTATTACTGCTCAGTATCTTAGCATCTAGGGCATAATTTGCTAACTCAAAGGGAAATTACAGTATCTGAGAAAAGCTAAGCTTTACTGTTTGAATTTAAGGAATAGATTATTCTTGCTTTTGTAAGAGACCTTCAGGATTTCTTGRTAAGCCATGGAATTAGCTAWAAMRTTCTCCCACAGGGTTTTTATGCTAYAGAAATTAAGACTCATTATGTGCTGAGCACTAGTACAGGGAGTGGAAAAAGCAAGAACATCACTGAGAATACATTCAGCTCCCAGAACAGGCATTGTCCAGCTTCCACCAGGGGAATTTCAACACAACTTCAGTCCAAATGTTCCAAGTATTTTTTTTAATCCAAGATGAACTAACAGCTCAGAACTAACAGTAATGCCAAGTGTTAACTTCACGATATATACCAAAGGTTAGTGTTTAGCAAGTCACTCCTACATTGGTGTGATACTGAGCTTGAACAGCACAGACAGTCCTGAAAGGGTCTGATTGAGCTACAAGGCAGCTATTTGGAGGCAGAATTATCACAGGAGTTATTACTCAGAACACCATAAAATTGTTTTGCAATCTGATGGTAAGAGTAGCAAAACTCCAAATTCTGCAGCTAAAGGCAAGAGAGAGCTTTAAACAGGATGTGGCCAAGCACAAGTAAATTTGTGCCATTTAAAACTCACACCAGGAGGAGGCAAACTACATTTGAGCTGGACAAAAGAGCTTTCAGTAGTGGGGAAAAAGGGGTGTTAAGGACATCTAGAAATAACCCCACAGGAATAAATAGAGAGGTGTTATAAAAAGGTCAGGACAAGCACTGCAAATTTTGGCAGGTAATGTGAACAYTGCAGTGATGGTTTACTTTCTCCTCTAAAAGGAGCAAGAGGACAAGGTAAACAGAGAACGATCAGGATAATCAAGACACCCCTTAAACTGAATATTCCACACACCACAAGAAGCTCTGTCTCTAAATCAAGTTTTCCTTCTTCCATCTGGGGGTGGGGAGGAAGTGCAGAACAGGTTTTCCCAGTGAAATCAGTGAAAGACAGAGGCAGCACAGCCCCCTCAGAGCTRTGACGTGTTATCGTGCACCACACAACTCACACTAAATCACAGCAGTTGTAGAGCCAGGCAGAATCAGATTTTCCAGCCAATTTGCTGAATATGATTAGATGCTGCCTCTTATTGTCAATCAGATGAATCACCATGACTGAGAAGATCGTTCCAACAGCATCCCCAGCAGAGCAACTACTTACACTCAAAATAATCCTGTTGTCAGACATTGTAAGAGAYCACAAACTTCTATTTAACAGAGAAATCACTCGGGCTTCCACTGAAATAAACGTAAGAAGGTTTACAAGACAACATCAGCTTGTTTGCTTTCCTTTTGCCCCAATCATGAGCACAGCACCATAGTGCTGAGCAGCCTGGCCAGTTTGGGCTTCCAGACATGGATCATGGATTTCATGAAATCACAGAATGGTCTGGGTTGGAAGGACCCTAAAGCTCATCTTGTTCCAACCCCCTGCCAYGGGCAGGGAAACCTTCAATTATCCCTGRTTGCTCCAAGCCYYGTSCARCCTGGCCTTGRACACTTCCAGKGATGGGGCAGCCACAGCTTCTGTAGGCAACCTGTGCCAGGGCCTCATCACCCTTACAGGGAGGAATTTTTCTTTAATATCCCATCTAACTCTGCCAAGTTGGACAACCCAGTCACTCTCCCGTTCCTGCCAGCTCACCCCGGTTYCCCACACCCCTTTGTGCCCTCTTCACCAGCCGGGACGGCTCCGGCTTTCCTTCCATTTAATTCCTCCTGAGAGAAGCCCTGACCCCAAAGAGAATTCATTGTACGAGAGGCTCGGGCGCTCACCCGAGGGCAGAGGCGGCCACTGGGCCTGCGGCGGTGGGAGCTGGGCCCGGGGTCCCCTCGGAGGAAACTTACAGGGGGAATGAAGGGAACTTACAGGAAAGATGGAAACGGACTACTTCCAAGRGCATGTAGAGAGAAGGTAAAGCAGAATGGGTAGAAATCRAAAGAGGGGAAATTTAGGTTGGAGATTGCAGAGAAATTCCTCCCCGTAAGGGTGGCGAGGCCCTGGCACAGGGTGCCCAGAGAAGCTGTGGTTGCCCCATGCCTGAAATGTCCCAGGCAAGGCTGGACGAAGCTTAGAGCAACCTGGGAKAGTGGARGGTGTCCCTGCCCATGGCAGGGGTTGAAACGAGACGATCATTAGGATCCCTTCCAACCCAAACCGCTCCACASCTCTATAATTCAATAAACCCACCGTCCTGCCACAGCGCGGCCCCGAGGCGGCAGCGACCCCGCCGCCATCCCGGCCTGGCTCCGCCGGGCCCCTCAGCGTGGCCCCGGCGCACAAAGGCCGGCGGGCGGGCGCGGGGTGGGGGGGAGGCAGGCAAGCAGGCACCCACCTGGTCAGCGAAGTCCTCGGCGGTGTTCATAATGTCGTTGTGGCCCATGGCGGGGCCCGGGCTGGCTCGGGGCGGGCGGGGCGGTGGCGGGGCCGGGCCGCGCTCGGTGCAGGCGCTGCCACGTCGGACGGGCCGGGCCTTGAAGGCGCCGCCGCGCCGGCGCGCGGGGGGCGGGGCCTCCCCGCCGGGACACGCCCCCTGACACGCCCCTCAGCGCTCTTAAAGGGACCGCGCCCCGCACCCGCTCCCGTGTGGGAGGGTCCCTCAGGGCCGCCGCCCCGCTGTCCCGGGCGGGACGCCGGGCTGTGTCCCCGCCATGGAGAAATATGAGGTGCTGCCGCCAGCGCCAGGCTCTGCTCGGCAGCGAGTAGCCGGCTGCAGCGTTGTGGGGTGGTGCTGGAGGGGTGTAGGTGGCGTACATRGCCCTGAGGAGGGGTCTGTTACTAGGGCAGGGCCTGTGGGTGCAGCCACCCTTGGGGATATGGTGTAAGTTGCTCTCAGTTGGTTAAATGGTGCTGGAGGGGTTTGTGATGTTATATAGCCCTGSAGAAGGGGTGGGAGTACCCCTGGGAGCAGGACACAACCACGGTGGGGTGTGTGTGAGAGGCCTTGGGTGAGTTGTGTGGTTCTGGAGGGGATTTGGATGACCCTGGGGTGTTCTCAGCACAGGGAGTGCCCTGGAGAGCCGGGAAGGGAAGGGCTGTATTCCTATAAAGAACTGCGGTACAGATGGGGGTGCCCATGGCCCTGCCCCAGGGAGCTGAAGTTGTGCCCTGTGTGGAGGGTTTTATAGGAAAGTGGTTGGAAGGTGGCTTTTTTTTTGCCTAATTTCCTCTGCCACTTACAGCTGAGCAGGTGCTCTGGGTGTCTCCTGTGCCTGCAGGTGCTGGAGCAGCTCCCACCCGGGGCACTGGGCACGATGCTGATWGCTCAGCTGAAAACAGACGAAGGTGCCCAGAAGAAATATGCAATAAARCAGGTGAGGAGGAAAACAAGAGTTTGGCATGTTTGTTATCTCAGGTGCRTGGTAGTAACAAGAGACACATGCTGGGTAAGAAGAGGCTTGCTCATTACTGTGCTGCTTTTTGGGAAAATGGGAGATTCTGATCAATTTACTGGAATTCTGAGGCTCAAAATGGGAAAAGGGCAGCAGCCTGTTTAGGTCCACTCAGTGTTCTCACCTCAGCTCACTGCTGTCCTGTCAGTGCAGGAGAAGCCCTGGCTGCCACACATGCATTTACAGCTCTGCTCTACCCATCTCCTGTCACCCAAACTGGCCCAAACATTAGGGATTTGAGCTATCATTGAAAATTTATGTCACCTCACACCGAATTTTCAGTCCAGTCACCTTGATAGAAGTGTTCTGGCTCGAAGTTCCCCTGTGTTTCTGTTACAGTCTCACTCCTGTCTTTCATTTGGTGCAGGTTGAATGCATTGACCAACACCAAGCAAATGTGGCCTTGAAAGAGGTATCAGTGCAGCCTTTCTTTACTACTTTACTTACAAAGACCAAAGTCTTAATAGAACCAAGTCTTTTATCTACAAGGATTAGCTGAGTAAATAATTAGTATATCAGGTAGGGCCATTTGTGGGGTGTGCTTTCTGCCCTCTGCTTGGGCTCAGGCCAGGATTTTGTATTGATTGTTGTTATTTTTGGATATGAGGAATTCAAATGGACAGCTACTCTTGGAGGATAGTCCTTTCTCAGGGTTTTTGTTTTTGTTTTGTGAAGCCAAAGAACAAAACTCATCCTTTTGGCCTTTAAGCTGAAGGAGAACCTTGGTCTGCTTATAGTTTATTATTAATAACTCAATTTCTAGATAACACATTTCATGATATGCTAATTTCTCAGAGTTGGACTTTTTTAATGTGAATGATTCAACTGGTTTTCTCCCTTTGTTGTACTTTTTTTTGGTGCAAACTTATTGCAATGCCTTAAGTAAGAAGCATCAGAAATACTCTTAAAATAGCAAAAATAGCTTCAATAGAATTTGATAAATGAGTCTCACAGTGCGCGGTATGCACAGCATCTGRATTTGGAAAAGAGTGAGAATAGATGTCTGTGCAGATGTTTTATTCTGATCAGAGAGTGACCYCTTTCTATACCAAATCTGGCATTATCTATAAAGCCTGATCCAATTTTTCTGTTTAAATAAATACTGAAATACATCTATTGAAATAAATGTAGTTGTGCTATCTGCAAGTGGGGCCCTTTTTAGTTTTCCTGTTGTGTCTGYACAGCCACAAACACAACTAGAGGAGAGTAACTTGAATTCTTTTTATCTTCACATAATCAGCAAATTTGCTGAAGCGATTAGGGTTTCTTAGAGCCCTGCACRGAAACCACCTCCAAGCAGATAAACATCTCTCGTGTCATTATATTTGCTGAGGTTTAAGCTTGCATGGAGGTTACAGGAAATAATGGCTACACTTGAAAAACCATCCTGGCTTATATTTTAAGAAGTGTTTTCAGGTTTGGATGTTACGAACTGAAGAAGGGGGTTGTTCACACATCATTTCCCTGTGGATCAGTTTATAGCCTTGGAGCTYACAAGGCTGTGACAGCACTGAGTAGGGTTTGAGTGAAATATTTTCCTTCAATTCCACACTTGTGGATGCAAATATTTAAYAGAGTTGGCATTTTGGAAGGGTTTGATCAGAAATATGACATGAACAAATCAGGAACAGGCTTAAGGTGTTATTTACAGTCCTGCTAGAGGGAAGAACTGTGTAGCTATAGAAAGCTGTGTCTCTATTTAATTTTTTTTTTTCTCTGCAGGCAAGGTATTTGCTAAAACTCCGCCATTCAAATGTCTGTACTTACAAGGAATTGTTTGTGATGTGGAATACTGAGGTGAGAATGGAACAGGATTGGTTGAGCTGGAATGTGTGGTTTATGTCCTGGGCACATGAGCATATTTACAAATTTAAATTTGGGGTCATTGGGGTGAAATGCCAAAAAAGAAGGTTATTTGATTTGAGGCAAGCCTGATTTTTTTTTGACTCCTGAATTCACACACTAAAAAGCTGTGAATATCTATGGTTTGGAGCCCATCACATRGCAGACTCCCATATTCTGATGGGAATTAGTGTGCAATTCTAATTTTTTATGCCTGAATGAAAACCCTTCTATAGGGGATCGGAAGAAGCTGAAAGGCCTGACTTACTAATTTGCAGRTTTTCCTCAGTGCTTAGACAAAACCTTTGATGATTTTATGGATATATAATTGATTTAAATCATCCCATACAGCTTCAGATAAGATGCTTGATAGTGGTGGTTTGTTTTATTTGCTAAAACAATGAGCACACTGTATTTTTAATGAAAGAAATTAAATATTGTCTCTTCTGTGAGAGAGTAATCACCTCAGAACCCTTTTGTACTGTTTGTACAGTTTGGTTTTGTCTTTCTTAACTGCAAACAATTAAGCAGTTTTGGTGCAATGTTTTATTACAGGTCACATCTCTGTTCCTCTGCTTGGTAATGCAGCACTCAGGCCAAGGAGATCTTTTAGCTCTAATCAAGGAAAAAAGGCAGAAGTCAGAAAAGATAACAGTCATGGTAAAAATACAGAAGAGGCACCTATTTGAACTGAGAGACTTGTTGCTTTWATGGTATTCCTTCTTTCTGAAAATCCTCCCTGAAGTTTTCAAAGCACAGGAGGGTGGTTTTGGAAACTCTTCTAAAAGATATTTGAAAGTTACTCTGTTCATGTTACRTTTTCATGTCTGTTCCACTCCACAGGTGGTTCAGAGATTCCTGGGACAGATGGTGGATGCTTTGTTTTACATACACAAAAAAAATATTTGGCACAGGTGAGCAGAAATCGTGTTTTCTTTGTCTGACAGGCCCTTGCTCTTTGCAGGGTTGGTTCAGCACAGAGCCAGGGAATTTTGCTCTTCCAAAAGGAGAAGTAGGGGGTAKAAATTCCAGACTTTAGATTAGGTTTTTTGACTTCTGAAATCATCGGTTTCTCAAATTTTGTCTGGAATGCCCATTTTGATCCAGCTATTATCTCTTGTTTTTTTGAATATGCTAAAAATTGCCCATCTCTATAAGTGCTTACATTTTGGTGGCTGTGATGGACCAAGTTTACTTTGTATATCTGAATTAGAGATAACCCTTGCATTCCATGCTCAGATCAATTTGTGTCACAATCAGAAATATTAAAGCATTTAAAGAAGAATTATATTTTGGTTGATTGTCACTTGTATATTAAGAAAACCCCAACAAAAAAATATCCAAACCAATTCCCTCCCCCTAAAAAAAAACCATTACAAAAACCAAACCAACSCTTCTGAGGGCTAAAGATGCTGGGAATCTGTAGTTCTTAGACTCTAATATCACAGCCTGACAGAAAATATTTGTGTTKCAGAAATCTCAAGCCATCAAATATCCTCGTGATTGGTGAAACATCCTTCATGCTTACTGACTTCAGTACTGAAACACTTGTGAAAGATGAACTGAARTGGAAAATAAGAGTGGAAGAAGGTAGATATTTATTTTACTATTTTTTCGTAATGTATTTTAAAAATATTTCAGTTGTGGTGGATATTTGTAGTCCTCCGAGAAAAATTAGAAAAGAGGGAAAAATTATCTTCTTTTTTCTTTCTCTGCATTATACTATTTGTCTTCTAAATAAGATTTTCATAGGCAGTTGCTTGGACTATGAATTGTGTTCACAAGTGAAAATTAYAGATATGTCTGTGAGTCTGAGCTCTGCAAACAATACAGATGGAATCCTTTTTAGCTTTATACTTGGGAACATCTCAGAAAATTGCTCATTAGTTACAGTGTGTTTTGTAGTCTTTGCAAGCACAATGTCAACAACRTCACCATATGATTCCTATTTCTACAGAAAGCAAGTCTTGGATGGCTCCAGAAACATTTGAATTTTCTTTTACTGACAAATCTGACATCTGGTCTCTGGGCTGTGTCCTCCTTGATATGATGAGCTGCTTTGTTCTGAATGTGTGTAAGAGGGATTTATTAGTGATTTAAAAGGTCCTGGGCTCACCAGGAGATCTGTAACTRAGTGTGTGAGAGCTCTGTGKCTCTGYTCTTTGCAGGCAGAAGAGATAACTTCCTTACTGCAGGATATCAGAACAGACAGCAGCCGCCTTGAGGGAGTCCTGACACTGATGCAGGAWGGAGAGAGCAGATATTCATCTTTTTTTCAAGTTTTATTGATGATGCTACAGATTGAGCCCAGCATGAGACCCACAGCAAGGTGAGGTCTGGCTGCCTTCCCTTGATTTATTTTGTCCTAAACCCTTCCTACCTCCACAAGCTGGCAATGTTAGCTGCTGTTGGAAARGGGTTGGGTCAAGATTGCTTATCCTGCTGCCTCAACAAATTGAATTATGAAAGACTTGATGTTCATTCAGAGTGGACACTGATATACACAGGTGTCCCTTTTTCAAGAGTTATATTATAAATTCATGTTATACACAATTTTATAGGCCATTAATTTGACACCTAAGCATAGCTTGTACAGTGTGATCTCTTTCAGGAGGTTTTTTTTGAAGTAAATTGTTTAAGTTCTGTCAAAAACAATCTAGTCTAGAAGTAATTTTTTTGACATTAAAATTAATTTTTTTGATATTAAAATGAAACAATGCCAGTAGATTTTTTTTTCTTTTCTTTTTTAACTTACCAGTTCTAACTTACTGGTGCCGTTTTTGTCTCTCAAAATTTTAGGGATCTGGGCAATGTTCCATTTATTGAGGAATGCCTGACTTTTGCTGGTGACACTTTAATTAAAGTGAAGAAGACCATGCCTTCCAAAATAACAGATGTGCTCTTTGAGGGAGGAGTCAGAAGTGTTTTAGGTAATAAGTAGAATAATATTAATGTAAAGGTGATTTTCATGGGAAATAGATCCTTCCAAACACAGCCATTTCTCTAAACTCCTAAGATTCCCAGCCATTCCTGCTGCAAAAGTTAAATAGGGTCAGARGTCATTCCTCAGAAAATTGGGAGCTTCACTTACTTTGTTTGCATTGTAACGTGTTTACCAATTTATGCAACAAAGGAGCTGCTCCATTATTTTCCTTCTAAGTAAGAAAGCTGTTYTTTTAATCTGAAATGTCTATTGGAATAATGCATTTAAGGCTCTGATTTAATATTCCAACAGCTTCCCAAAATATATAATGCCAAATACATTATGACTCATAGCACTTTGTAATATTGAAATGTTTAATGAGTTGGGGGAAAAGTTTTTTTCCTTTTAACAATCACAAGTTCCATTATTTTCATTTATATTAATTCACATCTTGCACGAAACTGAGACAATTTGAGTGCTTTGTGTATTTGTATGGAATGGTTAGAAGAATTTCCTTGGTCTCTTAGAATTCATGCAGGCTTCCTGGGATATTGAAGAAGTCCAGGCTAAAGGCATTCAGTACCTTGCCAGCTTTGTGAAGGACAAAAGTGGTAAGGCACTATTTGATCAATTTATTTATTTATTCTGCTCCTTCCTTATATTTTGAGATAATAGGAAGAGGAAAAAAAATGAATGTCAATAAATAAGAATAAAAATGCTCTCTTCCTATTTCTCCAGGCCAGTAGCTGATAGGATTGTGTTTGTGCTTGTTCTGTACATGCTTTTGTTAACCAGCAGAGGGGTTCTACTGGATAAGAAAAATGGACACTGGAAAAAAAGTAGTAATATTTGAATTGGCATCAAACTGACATTGGAGAAAGGTGATTTCCACAAGTCCTGGGATGACTTGGGGGTAATTCCTGGGGCTGCAAGGCTGGCAGAGCAGAAGGAAGCTACACAAGGCTAATTCCTGTGTGTCTGGTAGGGCTGTGAGGGTTAAAGCTGTGTATTTTCTCCCAGAAACTGCACATTTTTCAAATGAAGCTTTCAGATCAAGGTCAGTAGTTCAAAGCACTGTGTYAACTCAGAAAATGCTGTCATTTGACAGTGTTTTAATGCAGGCAATGGCTTATGATGTTGAAACTCAGGGTTRTTCATAGCTGTAATTGATAAAGAGAAAGAATAATTTGGTTTTTGCTAAGAGCTACTTATATCTTCAACTTAAGAAATCTCTACTTGGTAATCCAGTGGGTTTTGATTGTAAATAACAAAGTGATGGGATCTGTGGGGTTCTCATCCAGTCCTGGTGACAGCAGCACAAGGCTGTGCCCACATCTGGCTTGTTTGGCACCGTGATTTACCCCGACTGATGCTCTCAGCTTTGAAGATCCCTTAAAACCATCCAGTTTTCCTCAATCATTTTATCACATATTTGTGGGTACACTGAGTAACTGTATGAGCTATTCCAAAATAGCTCCTTCCTGGATATAGGAATTATCCTTCCTATATATCCTATCCTATATATCCTATAGGATATCCTTCCTGGATATAGGAATTCTGGTGAAACCCTTTCCTCTGCAGATTCTGAAAAGCATGGCTTGGATTCCCTGCACCTCTTGCTGCATGACCAGTGAACTCCTCCAGTGTGAGCTGGGCAGGAACATGTTGGCCACACTTGGCTGGCACAGCTTTCAGCTGTCTTTAATAGGAGATATTTCCCATACAGATTAAAAAATTCACTCTGTTTCGCTCTCTTTGATCCAAGAACCTTGTCTCAAACAGTTTATTTTCCTCCCCAGTGTTCCCCTATCTGCTACCATGCACGGAAGTGGTCACTCTTGCCATGAGGACTCACGTAGATTCTCTGGAGTTACAAACAGAAGCCTGCACTTTATTGCTTGAAATTCATAGTCAAGGTACAGTTATAAGATTTCCTTCTTCTGCTGGGTCTTGGAAAGATTAATGGAGCAGATAATGGGTTCAGTAATGATTTTAGGAGATGGTTTTAAAGAACTAAAGGAAGCTAAATAGCTTTCTGGATTCTTATGGCCTTCCTTCAGGACTGACATAAGGAATTCTGTGCTAAGAGTTATTTTTAAATATAAGAACTGATMTTGTCCAACCGAGTTTGTTTTCATGTTATGTAGAGTGTTACCAGAGYGCATAAATAAAACTTTCATTGTTTTGGTGTTTAAATGTTAAGCCATAAAAGTGGTTTGGGCTCTTTTGTTTGGTCCCTGCTTTCACTTTCATGGCAATTTGCCCCAAAACCACCTGATAATGATACAAGCTGAAAAATACTCAGAAAATGAAAGTTTAAAGTAAGTTTTGCTTATTTCCTGCGAAGAAATGCTGTTAATTGAATGTTTTGCTATGGTGACAGTGGGACAGGGGGTTCAGATTTCATTCAAAGCCACTGAAATCTTTGTTCTATTCCAATGTTTGTGGTGACAGCTCTGGAACAGGGGGTGATGGTGGCCTTGGATGAAGATGTGGCCAGCTGCCTGTTACGCACAGTGAGAAAACACTCAGAAAATGAAGAGTWCCTTTCATCACTCTGCACATTATTGATGATGGTTTCAGCCAGTGGTGGGTCACCTTGGTCATTCTTTGGGGAATATTTGTGTGTTTTTACTTTTTGAATCAAATTCAAATCTTGGATTTTAACTTGTGACTTCTCTAAGAGATGTGGTTGTCTGCAGGTATTTATTAATTTAATAGTGATAATATTGGTAAGATTGACCAGATACTGATAACACCCCTGGAAGTTCAAGATACAAAGCTGAGGCTTCAGGGACTTACAGGACCACTCTAACAAATACACTTCTGTATTTCTTCTTGGTCTGGAAACAAGTACGAATTCTGCAAACAGTAGTGCTTGAGAAAATGAGGGTATAGAACCTGAATTCTGTTTTTGATTGTGCCATGATGAATTGAAACCRTTTTTCCTATTTCTTCTGCTTTGTTTTCTTTTCTTCTGAAGTTGTAATTGCTAAATATTTACAGTATTTTTAGTTGTTTTCAGTGTCAGTTCAGCAGTCATCAAAGAYTGTTTTTTATAAATGGTTACAAAAGGATTTAGCTGCAAGGGGGTAATCTTAAAAAAAAATATATATAAAGAATCATGTCTAAGACCAAGCTATTTTCATCCACTGTTTCCTAATTCTGAAGCTTGGTTTGAAACATTAAAATGGAAACAGGTGAAAAACTGTAATTTATACCCTCTCCATTCCTTTCCTGGTCTGTGAATTTCAAGTCTGTGAGGAAAAAGGATGGCCAARCATCCATTTGAAAGGATCAGCTGTGTTAAATGCATCTTGTTAAAGAATTCGGTCTGTTCTCTTGCTTTCTTTTGTCCAGCTGATGGGTTCATGTTACCGGTTTGTTATCTGAGTTTAAATACAGTTCCTGCTGCCCCTTTCGAGGCCASTGAATGGGACAAAAATACCAGATTCTATTGAATTTCTGTGATTTTCAGAAGTAGCTGCGGAGAATCTAAGGAAAGTTGGAATAATTCCAGACCTTCTGTCAATTTTAAGWCGTTTTCTTCATAATGACAAGATCTGCTTCTCTTGCTGTGCGGTTCTGTGGAGCTTGGCTGTGAGTGGTAAGTAGAACACAGCAAGTATTGTGCCTGCACTCATGTGACTGAAGGGTAGCAGGTATTGTGCCTAATTGAGTTCAGACATTCCTGTCCCTTCGACTGGAGTTTTCTCCCATTTTTGTTCCCTGCCTGTGGTGGGGGATTGGAACAACATGATCTTAAAGATTCCTTCCAACCCAAACCACTTTGTGATTTTGTCATTCTGGAGAGTTGTTTCCACAGCACTGTTAGCATCACTGCGTGATCCAGAGTTAAATTAGATAAAAATAAAAATTAATGCAGATTTCTTTTTACAACACTTTATGAGATAAGCTGTCAAAGTAAAATTTATACCATACAGGCCAAGATGTGACCTGATTTTATATTTGCTGCTGTGTTTTTGTGAATGTGTTCCTGTAGAGGTKTGTGCTGTTCTGATCATCAAGGAAGGCTCAAAGCACAGATTGGGCACAGTTGCACTTGGTGTGTTTTATTCCCTCTGTTCAGCAAATCACCCGTTGGATTTATGGGACAGCTGAATCTCCATCCTGCAGCCCGGATCCTGTCAAAACTGTAGTTATTTCTGGAGGTTTCTTGCTGTGATCCCTCTGCATAATTTAAATGGCAAAGAACACTAGTTCCTGGAGAAGTTCAGCTTTCTCCAGTAAACAGGATTATTTATTAGTCCTGCAGCATTTGCTTTGGTTCTGTACATTTTTGATTCCTTCCATCTGCTGCTGTCCAGGCTCAAACAACGTTGCATTATTCTAATGCCTACACCCATTAAGGCTTCACTGATATAATTTGACATAAAATGATATTATTGCCTTAATAAATAACTCTGCCTGATGCATTTSCTTTCTGTTAAGGTAATTCAGAGAATAATGCAGACCAAGCAGTGCTGGAAAGTGCTGTCCCTGTCATCCGTGCAGTCCTGCAGGAGCACCTCCAGAACGGGGTCGTTGCGGAGTCTGCCTGCTCTGCTCTGTGGGCATTGTCACTCCAAGGTGTGTTCCCATCCTCCTTGTCCCCTGGGCATGGAAAAGGCTCGGATGTCTGTTTGTCAGTGGTGATCCCTGCAATCCAGGCTGCTTGGCTGGAGGAGGCTCTGCAGATGGCAGCAGAGTGAGGAACTTRCATCCTCCCTTGGTTGCTCTTCCCTGCACTCACTCTGTGGCTCCCTAATGAAGCCATTTTTGAGGAGCTGGAGCAATTAAATCACCAGATAGTGTTAATGGGAACTGCACTGGTGGGCAGCCAGTTGGCTCAGTTGAATTGGAATAGTATTTCAGATTAAAAAATAAATCATCYCTTTCATTATTACATGGACTAAGGAACCCATCTTGCAGTACTTCTGTCTTACATGAGAATTTGGTGACATTTACCTACTGCCTGCCCTTGTGCCATCATTCCACTGGGAAAAGCWGAGCAAAACACCCTCAGCAATCTCATTTCTAGTTCCCAAAAGCAGAGTAAGTTGAGTATTCAGGAYTTTTTATAATTTTGTCTTGGAGGATATTGAAGTTTTGGCCTTTTCTGTGTACTTTGTTTATTTTTGTTAAAGGTGCTGTAACTGACAGTGAATGTGAGTCCACAACAACAACTTTGCTGGATGCACTCAGGGTGAACCCAGAAAGAGCAGTGCTGGTGAAGAACGGCTGCCTGGCCTTRGCCAGCCTTGTGAGGCTGTCAGGTAACTCTCAGCAGTTCTGCTTTTATTAATTGCAAATCAGCTCCAGCAACGTGAAAACAATAATCATCAAAATCACTTCTGCCCTGCATGACAGTGTCAGCTGCATATATGGTCTTCTACTTGTTCCCAGAAATGCTTCAGAATAGCTTTTAGGAAGACTGAAAATAATGGGCAGGACTTCCTGAAAATGTGGCACGTGTGCCAGCTGGTGAGGGGATTGGGAAGTGGATTGTGCAGTTTGCAGCTATGACGAGCCCAACATTGTTTGTCTTYCTTGCAGAAACTGCAGCTTTGGCAATTCTCCTGGACCCCAAAGGCAGTGGAATAGAGCTGATCAAAGATGAATACTACCTTCACCTTGATGACCCAGGGGTGGCAGAAGCTCTGTGCCTGCTGATGAATGAGATGGTTCAGTATGGTGAGATGGCTGGGGCTGTTACTTGCCAAGTGTCCTCTCCCAACCCCAAATCAGTAAAACCACAACAGCAGCTGCTCATGGGCATGTTAGTTGCTCTCAGGAAAGACTTAAGTGTCTCAGGAGAATTGGAACCAAGAATTCACTCTAATTGTTCCAAATAAGTAYCACTCTGATGGTAAAATGTAATTTCATCTTATCTTGCCTTCTCTTGTGTAGCTCTGTCCTCTCTTTCTGCTCCTGCTACACTGGCAGTTGTGCTGTAACCATAAATTATCCTGTTCATTGACATTGCAGATGAGATTTTGCTGGATATGAGGTCCCAGAAAGTGGAAAAGCTGCTGTGTAAAATGAAACTCCAGTTTCCATTTAGCACGGTATGGAGAAGTCTCTATGATAATAAAGAGTGGGTACTTTTATAATTTCTGGTGAGGGATWTGATCATAGTGCAGAAATTTAAAGAATTAATTGCATGTGAAGAGTGAGTTTGTAACAACAGTTCCAACTACTGAGAACAAGTGGTTTTTGTTGTTGTTTATGCTTAAAATTTTTTAAAACTATATTCTGGTCTCTTGCAACATTACATGCATTTACTACAGTCTTCATACTGAACCAGGCTGAAGTTTACAGGAATAAAGCTGTAAGTACATTACATCCAATTTCTTTTTAGTTTGGAAGTGGCCTCCATGAAATACAAACCAGCCAAAACTTTCTGACAGTTTGTGTGGAGATTTAACTTAAATTAAATTTCACTAAGTACTCACACTGAAAAAAGGAACAAACCAGTGAAGTTATCAGAGCTATTTCATGTGTTCCACTAGTATTTCCTTTGCAATGGCTTGCTGGCAAGAAACCAATAATTAGAAGTTTGTTCCTCAATTCAATAAAACTGGTTAGTCTCAATTTTGCTGATTTTAGTTATGCATTTACGTAATTGTTTTCTAAGAGTTACAAACTGTTCTTCAGGGTCTCCTGCAGGCATTGSCTGCACATCTTTAATCAACACTGCAGATACAAGGCAGTGCAGAAAAAAAGTAATCACAGAAGGGGAAAAAGCTCCCTCTCCTGTTGTAACAACAGCAGCCACTTTAGAGATCTATGTTAGACACATTKTTKTWWTYAWTWAWTRAWWAMAAMAATAAGTGGAGCAACAAGGTAATCTTCTRTTTGACAGTTCTCACATTTCTCTGCAGGAGATACTGACCCTGGTGGATGCAACACTTTTGAAAGTGAGGAAGGAAAAACGCTTTGTCTAAGAATGAGACCCGGACACTGCTGGATACAAAAGCCTGGATGCTCCATTAAAAGATTCTTCTCACACCACCAGAATGATAAATATTGGACTATTAATAATAAGTGGGTAAACATTGGATTATTAATAATATATAAACAGGTATTTATTGTTGGTTTAGGTACCACAACTGTGTGACTAACAGCAATAATAAGAATTAACCTTGTAGTAGACCTCAACRTACTTGAAATAAAGATTTGAGTCCCGGGAGTTTTGCCAAAATAATGACAGTGTCTTCTTCCATCTACCATAATTTTTTTTAACTTATTCAGTGTCTGTTTCCCTTGAAGAAATTTAAAAAAATTCTTCCCAAAGGCAGGCATTGGTTACAAATCCCTGAACACAGTAGCAGGCAGTAGGCACAGGGACCATCCAGCAGCTTTCTTGGACAGCAGCATTCCTGTACTTCCACGTTACTGTCTTAGGATTGATTTCATGAAGTAGCTGCTGTCAGTTCTGACTTATCTCTAAATTTGTCCTGGAATGTGACATGAAACCAGCAAATGCTGCAGATAACAACATAGGGTAGAATCTTTCAAGTTTTACAATTTTTGTTGTTAGCTTTTTTCTTAACAGCAGCTTCCCATTTCTTTTTCTCCAAGGTGTAAAGTCTCATAGCTGCCTGTGCATCCTGRATCTGAAAGAGAACAGACCAGAGAGGGATATGTATGATGATAAGCAGTTAAATCTTCCATCATTTTAATACATCCTTCCAATCAATTTCATGGCCTGTTTTTACATTTAGGTTCTGTGCCTAGCAAAAGGGATAAATTTAGAGTCCAGGGCCCACCACAAGGCTCTGCACTTCTGATTATCACTTGGAAAGTCATAATGAAAAGATTCCCTTGATCCAGTATCTTGGAGCTCCCCTCCCACTCTGCCCTGTTCCCCAGTTCATTTCTCTTTTCCATCCTCCTTCCCTGTGAAAAAACAAACTGCTGAGGTTCAGATATAGCCTCTCACACTGTTCATCCATCCTGCCACAGTACAATAGTGCACAATGCTGCTTTTAAGGTAAGCAGATCTTGATCAAACTTCCCTGGGGATTTTAAAATGACAAGAATTCAGAGTTAAGAGCTGACATGTACCAAGTTGTTTGTGAAAATAAGGAAAGAGTGAGCAAGCTTAGATGACAATCTCACTGCTGCTGGTGTCCAAGCAGAGCTTGCTGAGTTTCACTGGAATGAAGGATCAGCCTTTGGGTTGATCCCAGAGGTCAGGGGTAGGTGAGGAGGTACCTACCGAGCAGTGCTCTGCTGTCTGCACCTGAACATTGAGCAGCCTCTCACAGAGCAGCTTCAGGGATGGCCTGGAACTCTAGAAACAGAAAAGATCATAAACCATGCTGTCTCACAGGACTTGACATAACAGAGGTGTGTGTGTATATATAAAAATATTTTGTTCTACAAAGAACAGCAAATCTTTGCCTCTGCTCGTGAAATATCAGGAATAATTAAYGAATTATGAAATTTATTTGCAGAGGGAGGAAAGAAGGAACAGGGTCACGTAAAAGCAAGCACAGGAGTGAGTCAGCAGAGTCAGTTAATTGAGGTGCACCTTYCCATCAGTCTCTTACCTTGACCCTCTCTTTGAAAGGTTTGTATCTCTGTGTGTCCCTGATCTTCTTGTGAGGATGATCAAGAAGTAAGACCTAGAAGAAATCACATTTTCAGTCTAAAACGTGCTATTGCATCAAACTTTATAGAGCTGAATGTGCAGCTGCCTGTTGTTTCCTTTCATCCATTKTAAGAGACACTTTAAAACCATGAAAGGACAAGACCCAGATCATACAGACACTGGCTGGATTCACAGTTTCCAGGTGTGTTCATTTGATCCAGCATGATGGATTAGAAACTTAATTCTCAGTGTACCTTTAGATCATTCTGTAAGGCGTGTCCAACTAAAATCCTTCCCTTCAGGATCTCAGCAACCTCCTTCTGAACCGTTTTAAAGTCTTCACCTAAACAGGCCACACAAAGAAACACTTTCCATGAGCAAAATACAATTAAAACACTGCATCTTTTCTGGGAATTAACTGTATCTGGAACTGTGGTTATACAAATTGAACAGTACACTAAACCCCTTTTTGTTAGAAGAACACAGAGAATTCCCTACAGAGCASAGCATGAAAAGGAAATTATTTTATTATTTCCATACCATATTCCACCAGTTAATTCCTTCAAGGGCATTAGTGATCACTGTAGAAAAGTACTTCTCACAATTTTTCTTAGCACTGAGTTTACCATAAATCTCAGCAGTCTGTTWTCCCCAAATTAGGCCTCAGACTTTCAAGATCAGCCAGTGAGGCTGCTGTGACCCACTGAATTCTCCCTCCTTTAAAAACCTTTTGGGGCAAACCCCCCTCRTACCTGTGTTTATATTCTGAGGCCGGATGCCACTCACAGCTGTCCTGTAGTCTGTCACCTTCTCTGTAGGTTTGACATACTTGTCATAGATGCACTTCCCAAACTGGTTGACGATGGACACTCGAGCCACGATGCTGTCCTCACCCTTGGGACCCACCCCCACCATCTCACAGTCCATGGCCACAGCTCGGGTCAGCCTGAAAGACAAAGGGACAGCTTGGGGACACCTCTGCAGGACCCAGGTGCAGCTCAAAAGGTTCAAACATTGATTTGAACAGCACAAAACCTGTCAGCAGATGCAGGGAGATGTCACTGTGCACTGCAGATCAGTTATCAAAAGCCAATCTGACACCTCTGCTGCCATCCTTCCCCCTGGAATGTCACTCACCCATCAAAAGCCTTTTCTTTAACCAGCACCTGCTCCACAGACGGTTTGGATGGGTTTGTTTCAAGTCCCAGGTTCCTTCTGGCAATTTTTGCCGCTTCAGGTCCTATTGCTGCTTCAATATCTTTTGGATCAACRTCATCAAACCAGATGTCAGCCCTGGTAAGAACAGATTTAATTACATTTAACACTCTTAAAGCAATCTGGTGTCTGTTGTACAAAAAGCATGTTTGCTTTTTTAAAGCSAGAGATAAATCTGTGAAAATTAAGTCTATGACTGTCACCTCTGCAGGTTTCTTGCTGAGTCTGAAGAGTAGGGCAACATTTATTTATTCCAAAATTTAGTCTGGAAGAGCACAGCTGTTTAAAATGTACTTCTCTGTGCTGCTCCCAAAATGAATGTTCACATCCAGGGCTGATGCCTGAAGTACTCACTCTTTGGGCTGCTGCTCCACGTGTTCCTCAGTTTTCCTCCTCTTATGTTTCAGATCATCCTTCTCCTTCACAACAATGCCATTTTTCTTTTTTTCTTTGCAGCCTTTTCCACTGCTTTTGATGCCATTTAAATTCTTATTYACTGTAAGGCCCTTGGATTCTGGTTTGGCCAAAGGAGGACTGTCTTTAGCAGAACCATTGTCCATTTTATTTGTAGATTTGGCCTTTACCACATTCCCACTCCCATTGACTGCTGGGACTTGTGAGCTTTTGGCTGCTTTGAGTGGTTGCTTCTTTTTGGTGTCTGTTTGAGCTGTAGAGAGGAGCTTGTTGGAGCTATTTGCCTTTTGTTTCAGCACCTAAAGGGACAATTAAAAAGGAAAAAAAAAAGAACACAGGATAAAGGAAAAGAGTCAGGAAGTCAGGAAAAGAGTCTGGAAAAGTGAAGGCTTTAGGGTGACCTGATTGTGGCTTCCAGTACCCGAAAGGAGCCTTCGAGGAAGATGGAGGGGGACAATTTACAAGAACCTGGAGGGACAGGACAAGGGGGCATGGCTTTAAACTGACAGAGTAGGTTCAGATRGGACATTGGGAAGAAATTCCTCTCTGTGAGAAGGTCGGCACAGGTTGCYCAGAGAAGCTGTGGCATCCCGGGATGTGTCCAAGGCYGGGTYTGGAGCAGCGTGGGACAGTGGAAGGTGTCCCTGCCATGGCTCCATGTGAGCTCCACTGTGGAGCAGCATCAGGACTGCCCGCATGGCCCCGCTGCTTCTGTCCCAGCACCCCGGGGATGTCCCCCGCTGTCCCCTCCGCATCCCCGGCCCCCCTCACCTCCTGCAGCGCCTTCCAGTTGGAGGAGAACTCCTGAGGGTTGCGTGGGGGACCCACAGCCGCCATCCCGGAGCCTTTCGGCGCGGCCGCCGCTTCCCCGAGAGCCTTCCTCTTCTTCCTCCTCTTGTTGCCCTTTCCGCGGGCCGCGGCGCTCGGCCCCGCCGCCTGGGGCTCGGCAGGGCTCGGTTTGGCCATGCGGGCTCAGCGGGGCGGGATCGCGATGGGATCAGGGCACGGCGATGGGATCAGGGCACGGCGATGGGATCAGGGAACAGCGATGGGATCGGGGCACGGCGATGGGATCGGGGCACGGCGATGGGATCGGGGCACGGCGATGGGATCGGGGAACGGCGATGGGATCGGGGCACGGCGATGGGATCGGGGCACGGCGATGGGATCGGGGCACGGCGATGGGATCGGGGCACGGCGATGGGATCAGGGCACGGCGATGGGATCAGGGCACGGCGATGGGATCAGGGCACGGCGATGGGATCAGGGAACAGCGATGGGATCAGGGCACGGCGAGTCCCGACCGGGCCGCGCCACCGCTGGGGGACCGGCACACCGCCGCACCGCCCCGCCGGGGAACGCCGGCCCGCGCTTGGGTTCCGGGCTGAGGGGGAGCGGCTCCGCGGTTCCGGGCTGGGGGTCGCGGGGTGACACCMCACACACACGGCAGTGTCCCCATGGCCACACGGCCACCCCCGAGCCGCCCCTTGGCCCCTTGAACACTCTGGAGAAGCCTCGGGCATTGCGCAAGGGCGGCCGCGCTCCAGCTGCTGGTGCGGCCGCGGCCCCCCGCGCCCCCGCTGCGACCGCGTTTGCTCCCAGCGTGTTTGCTCAAAGGCTGTTTTTTCGCTCTTCCCTTCCGCTCCACGTGATGCCTTGGGCCGAAAACTCGCCCTGCTCGGCCGCGGGGTGCGCGGTTCGTCCAGGATGACCGTGGGTTTGGCGCTGCGGGCGTTCGTGATGCTCCCGCTGGGGCTGTGCTGGCCGCCGCTCCCTGAGGTGAGTGTGACCTCCAGAACAGCCCTTCCAGGAACGCTTCGGTGTTTCTAAGAAAAGTTAAAAAAATTTAAAAAAAAAAAAAGAAAAAGAAGAGACGACGCGATTCTAAGCCAAACTCCGTCCCGAGCTCACTAATCACGAAGATAAAGCTGTTTGCTCTTTATTCCGTGCTTAGCGCGGAATAAAGCCACGAGAAMTTGGCACTGGGACTTGCTGAGCTGTTTGCTGGCGTTCCTTCCAGGTTAGGTCCGGTGAAAGGGATAGTCTTGTATCCATTTGTTTTTCGTGAAAAAAAATGTAAAGCTCTTCTTCTTCTTGCAGAAATTCCTCGGCGCTTTGGATGCGGGAGATGTTTTCTCTTACTTTGGAACCAGCTCAGTGCCTGATGGTATGCAGGGCTCAGTCCTCCTTCGCTTTAGAACACATCTGTCACTTGATTTCTGATCCTGTGTGTTTGATAATGCTAAGAACATTATTAACAACCCCTGAACTGACAAGCATTTAGTGTTTCTGAGTCCCAGTGAGAGTGAGACAATCCTGGTTTCAGTGTGAAAGTGATTGAAGAGCTAGGTCAGAATTTCAAATCTGCTGAGGGAGATCTGGTCAATCTTCGTGCACATTTCTGTTGTAGTCCCCATTCTCAGTAGTGCTTTTTCTTCTACAAGATGAACAGATCTTCTGTATCTTCAAAGGTTTAGTCTAAGGCTAACTTTAAATGCTTGTTATTTTTTTTTTTTTAATAAATGCACAAAGAAATTTGTATTCCAGGTCTGGATTGATGATAGTTCAGAATAAAGATATGTTTTGAAGTCTCAGATTGCTAAAGGAAKGGTATTGTCTCCTTAAAGTTCACCTAGTGCTCATCCCAGCATCTTTTTCTGGATTGTGATAATTCCCACTCAGTAATACTTAACATCTGCAGGGGGATGAAACTGTTACAGCCTTTGTTAGATGAACTGTTCTCCTTATTGAGAGAGCAAAAGCACCAATAAATCAGGTGCCAGTTTCAGTTGTGTGTTTCAGATTATCCTCCCTTTGGAATACCCAAAAGCACAGAAATTCTCTGATTGTTGACCCCATGACCCACAGGTGTCATTTGGAGGGTATTTTTCCTGTGGAGATAGACCTTACATTGGGTTTTTGTGTATCATCATTTCTCATCACTCTTCCCCTTSTTCTGGTCTTGTTTCATTTCTTTCAGTGCCTGAGTTTGTTGTGGCTGAGCCAACTTGCCCTTGTAAAGAAGAACATTCTGGGCTGAGGTCCTGTCGTGTCCTGCATTGCTCCATCCAKGCCTGGGGCCAGCTCTACACCTTTGAATTTCTAGAGGACCATGCCCTCCTTTCCTCCTCCTTCGTGAGCAGCCARGTGGTGAACTCTTCCTTTGTTTTGCTGAAGAGATTCCCAGGGAACTGCTTTGCAGGTGGAAAGCCCCTGCAGCCTCCTGGGGCCACCAGCAGAGTCACCTACTGCRAGGGGCAGCTGGTGAGTAGGAGCTGAGAGGGCATTTGGAGGGTGGCAGCTTCATGCACCAAATGTGTGTGAATTATTCCATCCACTCAATAATTTTTTTCCATCTCCATGGGTAGCAAATGTCTTTGGAATAACTCAGAGGTGGAATTTTATCTGCTTTAGCAAGGAGTCGTGGCTGTGGGTGAGGAGAAGATCCACATCAGGCCAGTCAGGAGCAAAGATGTGGCTCTGCTGGAGGATCTTGGCCTCTCCAGACCCCACATCATCTTCAAAAGTGCTGCAAGAGAGGCACAGCCAGCAAGAGGTAACAGACATGGAGAGGGAGCCCTGTCTCCTGGTGGTGGGATTGCTTCCATGAGCTCAGAGGACAAAATTGTGTTTATAAATACATGAGTAGACCTGAAAACGTTTCTTAGCTTGCTGAAGTGTGACTGGTGTGGTTGGTGGGGGTGGTTTTTTTTGATGGCACAGGTGAGTTACTAAAGCTGCTGACAGGTGAAAGAAACCAACAGAAATGGGAAACCTGAGTGAGTCCATTCTTCCAGCTGTGTTATTCCAGCCTTTGGGAAAAGGGAGTGGATCTGTAGGACTTTTTGTGGTGTGTTTGAACCTCCCKGTGTCCCTTTGTGCTGTCCAGCAGGGTGGGCTCCTCCTCGCCTGCACAAGAGGGCCGAGGGAGCTGTCAAACATCTGGAGCTGATGGTGGTGGCAGGGCCAGATGTTTACTYGTACCACAAGGAGGACACGGAGCGCTACGTTCTGGCCAACCTGAACATCGTGAGTAGCTCYGTGTTGGGAGGCTGTGCCTGASTGGGGTCCAGGCTCTGTCYCAGGCAGGACCTCTGGGAGGGCACTCTCRGGGTGGTTGGGGTTATCTGTGCTTCCCTGGGCACAAAATTGCCCAAAATTCCCTTGTACMAGGAGCTGCATGAGTAAAAGAAGATCTCAGAAGATTTAAAACCCAAATAGAAAATGTAGCTCCTAATTTCATTACTAATATTGTAACTGAGATAAAGAGTTTTCTCACCCTGTTGCTTTCAGTAGGATTGAACTAAATCCACTGAATTAATCTTGCATTTTACATTTCAGTGTTTTATTTCTATTACAGAATTTTCATAAGTGTTTCCCTTTGTTTTTATTAAGAATTTGGTGTCATGTTTTCTGCGTGTGCGCTGCAGAAAAGTCTTCACTCTACCCTGTGAAACTTTTCATGCACATTCTTCTCTTGGCTTCAGAGTATGTGACAATTTAACCACTTCTTGTCTCTTGACAGATTTATTTGTAGTGCCTRTATTAATGTTGTAGTTACCTTTGTGGTGAGTGCAGGGAACAGGGAGWGGCAGTCTCCAAGGTCCTTTCTTCATGAAATCCTTTCTGTCTCTTTTCAGGGAGCAGARCTGCTCAGAGATGCCTCACTGGGGGCTCATTTCAGGGTTCACCTGATACAAATGCTGGTTTTGAGAGAACCAGAGGTAAGGARAGGACTGAGTCTGAGTGTTGTCCAGCCTCAAAGCTGTTTGGAATGTGCCAATGTGTGCCTTCCCTCCAGGCAGAGCTGAACATCACAACCAACATCACCTCCTCCCTCATCAGTGTGTGTGAGTGGAGCAAGAAGGTGAACCCCCAGAACGACTCTGACCCCCAGCAYGCTGACATTGTCCTCTACATCACCAGGTGCTGAAGCTCCCTGCCCTGGGAGGGACTGGGGACAGGGACTGGCAAATAGGATTAGGTCATTTTATTCAATTCTGCTTGTCTGAGGACATTTGGATTTTTTAATGTGCAATCATCATAAATTTTGAGCAGTTGCCATTTTTGGGACCTTATTGCTGCCATCTTGCCCCAGAGAACTCTTGTGTGTCAAAAGAAATGTTAGACAGCTGGCAAAGCTAGACCAGGARAGCTCAGATAAACTCAGCTGAATGTCTAGACCTGACTTTTTTAGCTGTGGGARTTCTTTGCTCTTTCCTCTCTCCGTCTCCCTTACTTTAGGTTTGACCTGGAGTTGCCTGATGGGAACAAGGAGCTTCGTGGAGTGACTCAGTTAGGGGGAGTGTGCTCCTCTTTCTGGAGCTGTGTKATTACCCAGGACACTGGCTTTGACCTTGGAGTCACCATAGCCCACGAGATTGGGCACAGGTAGGTTTTATTCAGGTAAAAACGAACCCCAGTTTAAGGAAAGAAGCAGAAGGATGGATCTCTTGACCTGACAGAGAGTTTCCAATGGATTATTCTAAACATTTTGGTCCTGGATTGTTTTGGAAAGAGTTTCTTGCATTTCTTGCATTCCTGTGTGYTCTGTGACAATTAGAAACTGCAAAGAGGAGAGAAAACCATTGTGACAACAGCAGAAGGAAATGCTGCAGAGGGAGCTCAGTCCTTGCTTAGGGAAAGAAAGTTCTGAGGGAACCCAGCCTCTGGGTTTCTTCTCCTCAGGGCTCTKTGCTGCTTCTGTTCCAGCCTTGGAATCGCCCACGATGGAGAGGGGAATCTGTGCAGCAGCAGTGGTTACATCATGGGCTCGGCAGGAAACCACAACAGCATCGACCTCACCTGGTCTCCCTGCAGTCGGGAGCAGTTCCTGGCCCTCGTCAGGTAAGGGAATGGTCAAGTTCTTCAATTCCCTGTGCTGGCAGCTTAGAACAGAAAAACTCAAATAATAAAAGAAAATAATTATAAAAGAATGAAGAGCAGTGAAAAGCTTGGTGTTTGTTTATTTTTTAGCACTTGTTGCTGAGGTTAAACCCAATTTCTGCTTTGTGTAGCTGGAAGTGGCTTTGGTGGGTGCCTGAGGTGCCTGGGCTGGGTTGGATTTCTCAGACACTAACTCAGGCTACACATTTTATTTACAACATCCGAGCATCCAGGCTCAGACAATCATTGCAGGACAGGAATGCACCAGGAATGGGATCGAACTCCAGCAGCAGGGAACTGAGAGCATCTCCAGGCAGCTGCTGCAGCTAAATCCATCCCAGCCCACAGCGAGCATGTGTTGTCTGGGAAAGCAGCAGCCAACTCCCAGAGTGAAACTCAGCCCAAGTT